GGAAAGGGTCTAGGCAGTTCAGCAACATTTGTCACGTGTCTTGCGGCGTGCTTTTGGCGTTGGTCACTTCTAGCAGAAGGGAATTGGTCGCAAATTTGAAGACCATGATTTCCGGAAAATCTACTATTACGCTTGGAACTGCGAAAAAATAATTTTCAATGGTCAGTGCGACTCCAATATTTATGGATCTATGTTTGGCACACTATTAACGCTAAAGGATTCTGATGTATTCGTATTCAATACAATACTGCCTATAAATATTTTGTTAGTTGACACGAATATTAATCAGGAAAAGAAAACTGTACAAATGGAAGAGATGTATCATTTATGTCCATGTACAGATTTAATTATGACTAGTATTGAAAACATGTTTCCAGAACTGTTTATTATAGTGACTGCTCTTGGCTCGACAATTCTAGACGCGTATTTAGGACTGCATGAAAAAGATATTGAGTCGATTAATGCAACATTGATAGATAACTTCAAAAAATTATTGGTACGTTTTATATTACAAACTTTTATGGCTCTTTATGTTACACATGTTGCTTGTGTGTGTCTTCTCTTTCAAGATTGTATAAAGTCATCCTTTGTAAATTTTCATTATCTTAACATGCGCTTTCAGATCTCCATCAATAGAAATCAAAGTTTGCTAAAGGCATTAGGCTTGTCAAATCAAAATATAAATTTAATTTGCGCAATTGCGCAAAAACATTCGTGTAGTTGTAAGATGATAAGTACTAGTGGATACGTATTCATTCTCCCACTACCAACTACCACGCCTGAACATATCGATCAATTAAAACAGGATCTTAAATCTCATCATTTTTTCGTTATTAAAGATACCTATATAAGTTGTGATAGCCTTAAAATTCATTAATACTTTTATTATTTACAATATATAGAAGAATTATGACGATAGAAGAAACGATACGAATATGAATAATTATCATAGGATGCTTTTATTTAATATATTTATTATATTTTCTTTCTTCTTTCTTACTTTTCCTCGACAAATTGACAACATTAAATATATGTATATATAAATTAAAGAATAAAATAATTTTTACTTTCCTTATTTAATGTATAATTATTAAATATGTTGATACACATGTATTATGTAAGAAGAAATCTATAGAAAATACGGTTACGATGTTCTTTACACGGAACGTATGATTTTTGAATCTATTTTTGAATCAATTAAATCATTATTAAAAATCTTTTAACTCTCATAAAAGTCCCTTAAACTGTTTAATCACAAGAATGATACTTTTAGAAATAAATATTTTTTAAATTTTATTATTATATAAGTCACACAGAATATAGATACTTTCGGTAAATAAAAACTTTATACTTATAATTAATATATCGAAGTAAAAAAATATTTTTTATCTGTATATACAATTATACTTAGCAAGACTTAGCAACTTTATATTTTTGTACACTAAGAATCGAATATAAAAATATTTTTTCGTTTTAAAATAATTTTCGATTGTTATACAAGGAAATGTATTCTAGTGTAAGATGTTTTTTTACAAAATGAATTTAAAGGTGTTTTAATAATAATGCATAAATTGAAATATTGAGATGACATCTATAGATACAGCGAAATTTAATTTGATCACGTTGTGAAAGAAGCAGATTGTTACAATAATGTTACGTAATATTTATTTTTAAGTTTATATATTTTTATTTTACATAGATCATTTTATTTGTTAAATTAATTTTGAAAAATGCTATTTTCGTTCAACCGCTTTTTGTGGAAACATTTTGTTTGTACTAAAAAATGATGTTATATCATATTAACTTTCACATTTTTAATATTGAACTTTAGTCATCGACCAATTTTTAATTTAATTCTAGAAAAGTTCTCACTGTCGCAGATGACATTTTTATATATATATATATGTATATATATTTTAATATATATTTTTAATTCTAAAATTTTAAAGACATTCTATTCGAATACTGATCAATAAGTCAACCGTTCATCTTTCATCCTTTCTCATTAAATCATTTGTAAATTGTATGATAAAACCCTTCAAAAAAATATATTTTTCAGATTTGAATATAGAGAGAACTAAAGAAAATTTTTGCTATCTTGCTAACAATATCAGAGAGTTACTACAGCCGACAAGTTGATTATTGAATCTTAGTAAATCTCCTTATCCGTTTTCGTATATACAGTATTTTATGTAGATATTATTATATATTTGTTTAGCAAGTTAATGACGTAGTATGTATGAAATAAAATAATGAAGCATTGCATCTTCTTTATATTCTTCATATAGTCTTCTTTATAGTGTGTAATTATTAAATTTTTCTTAACACATCCGTTACATTATTGTGTGAATATATTTAAATAATTCTGTAAAAAATAATATATTTTTATGTGGAATACATGATCAATTGATTTTTTATCAATAAATTATCACGACAAATTATTATTAGAAATATATTATAGTTTATAAAAGACTTGACAGGTTTATTTATTTACAAGAAATAAGTTTATTCAAGATATAATTTAGAAACATATTACAATATAGAAAAATATATATTAAAAAAATATAGTTTAAATTTTATTAATTAAAAATTAATACATAATGGATACAAACGTATTCTTCGGTAAACTAATAATTAATATATAGATATAAGGTACTTTTCGTTTATATAGTTTCATTAATAAACGCAAATTTGAATTTTTATATTTTACACATATCAATAGTCAAATATGATATTTTATAATTTTAAGATGATTCTTGATTACATTGATTAAAAATCATCTATGTAATATCTTTATTTGAACTAATTAGATTTAAAAATACTTTAAATATATTGAAAAAATTGAAAGTTGTAGATTATACATAAATACGTGATTACAGTGAATAAAATCAAATTTATTCATCTTTGGAAAAGAGATAAAATATTACAATAATATCAATTTAACGTATTTATGTTTATATATTTTCTTATTTACATGAGTTATTTTAATATTGTTTATTTGAAGGTCTTTGTTCTTCGAATAAATTATTAGTTATCCGTGAATTTTTGTCTGCATATGACAGCGTATGACAGGAAGGAAGTGATAGAATTTTTAAATTGCCAAATTATTAAAAGTTATATTTTAATTACCTTCGTCAATTTGTTTCAAGAAAGTTCATATTGTCATGCTGCAGGTAATATTTTTAATTTTCAAATTATAAATATATATACATATATACATATATATATATATATATATATATATATATATATATGTTCTAGCAGCACATATATTATTTAGTTAATGATAGGTCAACCGTCTATTTTTCATTTTTTTTTAATTAAACATTCATAAACATTCATGATTAAAATTATTTCTTGTTAAAAACATATTCATATTTGTGTATAAAGTATATCTAAAATTTATACTATCTTGTCAAGTATATCAGAAATTTGAGACGGTCGAGAATCTAATTATCAAATTATTCAAAGTCTAGTTAATGTAGAAAATGGAGAAATTAAGATTTGTTACGAAATAATCATTGTTGTGCAATCTTTATTTAATTCATTGTAACGTATACATTATAAAAGTGATAAACTGCAATAGATCATTTTTTCCAATAGAGAATCCTCTGAATTCCGCATTATTAATGCGGAAGAAATCTGATTTTTACCATTTTTATGATTATCATTTTATGATTAACATCTGATTTTTTATGATTTACCATTTAGTATTACATTCTCCAAAGGAATTTTTTTATCTTGAAAAATGTTTAAATTTACTATATCCGCACCAATGACGATATTTTTAAACGGAGATGCCATATTGGAGTATAATGGACCTTGCGTAACAGCTGCCTTAAATCATCGTGTCTACGTCGAATTCTCTTCACTACCTCTAGATATAGCATTAGAAAGATATATCAGAATAATATTTAAGAGTTTGAAATTCTACCTGAACATACCCTTATACGCATTTTTTGAACACTTTTATGAGCAAAATGTCATCCGCGAATTTTCTGAAGAAGATTTAATAAATGAAATAACAGTTTTTCTTGAATCATTAAATATTAAGTACAGCATTTTCGATTCCATGAAGGAGGCACAGTATTTATCTTTACAAGCATTCTTGTATCTACTTCTTTTTATGGCACGCAAAGAAAATATTACAATAACAGCAACTATTGCCGTGCAAATATGGTCGGATTCGCATATAATTGGAAAAGGTCTGGGCAGTTCAGCATCGTTTGTCACATGTCTCGCGGCGTGCTTTTGGCGTTGGTCACTTCTACAGAAAGGGATTATTAGAAATGTTAATAAGGAATTTATTGACAATGATTACACGCAAATCGAATTTTACGCTTTGAGTTGCGAGAAGATAATATTCAATTGTCAGAATCGGATCAAGCTTTTGACATCCATAAATGGCTCAATAATGACATTCGATAATGCCATCGAATTATCAAACCGTCCGTTCAAAATACACACGGTATGGCCTATGAAAATTATATTGGTCGACTCGAATATTGAAAAGGAAAAAAAAATTGGAAAGATAGAAGAAATGCATTCATGTTTACATTCAATTATGGCTAATATTAAAAATATATCATTAAAATCTAGCTTTATAATAGATAATATTAGTAAAATGTTGCCAAAATCTATAACTGCTTTTTCTTTATTAAAATGGTCTCGTTTATTATCTTTAGACTACTACAGACAACTATTTGTAAGTTTTATGCTACAAATTTTCAAGCCTTTTTATGTTACACTTTGCATGCGTCTACTCCTTTTCAAGCATGAAGTTATCCGTTATAAATTTTCATTTTCTTAACACCTGCGCTTTCAGGTTCTTATCAATATGAATCAAGATTTGCTGAAGACATTAGGCTTGTCAAATCAATATATAGATTTCATTTGTACAACTGTACAATCTGTACAAAAATACTCATGCGGGTGCAAGATGACAGGTACTAATGGATATGTATTTATTCTCTCACTACCAAACACGAAGATTTCGGACATCGAGAAGCTAAAAGATGAACTGATATCTCACAATTTTCCCTCCTTTGTAACCGGTATATCTCCGGAAGGAATTAGAATTTGGTAGTACGTTAGCATTGTAATATAAGAATTATGAATGAAAATTGCGACTAATATTACTTACTAATTATATTACGCTTATATATTATATTCTATTTTATTTTTACTTCATAAGTTAATGATGTTGTATGTATGTACAAAAATACAAAAAAAAATAAAGCAATATTTTATTTCTTATATTCAATGTTATTATTAAGTATGCACAGTATTTTTATATACATGTATTATATGCAAATATGTAAAATTAAATCCGTATAAAATACAATATGATAACGTTTTCGATAATAAAAATATGTAATTTTTGAAATAATCTATTATCTTAACAAATTATTATCAAGAATCTATTAAAACTCATAAAAAATTCGTGAGATGTTTTTTCACGAAAAATATATTTTTAAAAATAGGTATATTTTAAATTTTTATATCATATAAGTAACATAGGATGAATAGATACAATTATTTTCTTCGATAAATAAAAAATTAATACTTTTAATTAATAATATTGAGGTAAAATGTTTTTCGTCTACTTAGTTATATTTAACAACGTAACTTTACAGTTTTACATATCAAGACTCGAATACGAAAATATCTTTCATTTTAAGGTGAATCTCAATCGTTATATAAGAAAATATCTTGTATAAAATTTGTTTTGATACAAAATGTATTCAAAAATATTTTAATAATAATTGACATATACTGAGATGATATCCACACACAATGAAGTCGTTAAAAAAGTAGAATATTACAATGATAGGTATTGTATTTATATTTAAATTTATATATATTCTTTTTTTGCACGTTATTTTAGTTTTGCTTGTTAAATTAATTTTTCAAAAAGATTATTTTTCAGTTCTCCTTGTGGAAACATTTTGTTCGAAAGCATTTTTTTACTGAAAGGTGATGGCACATCATACAAATTTGTTATTTTTTTAATATTGAACTTTAATCATCTTCGATCAATTTGATTTAAGGAAAGCTCTTATTATTGCAGGTAATACTTTTAATTTTCAGATATAAAAAATATATTCTATTCTATGTTCTATTTGAACATTAGTCATGCTATTAGTCAATAATAAATCAAAGTATTGTGTTGTCTATTAGTTTGTTTATTCCATTGTTCGTGGAAACATTCATTTGCAAACTGTGACAGAAAGAAAACGATAGAGCAGACAAATTATTAATAAATTATTAATAAGTTATTTTTTAGTCACTTTCGCCAATTTCTGATTTTTATTTTAGAAAGTTCTTATTATTGTGACGCAGATAATATTCTTAGTTCTCGGATTATAAATATATATATTTTATTCAAGCAGCACCTTGCCTTTATTGGTTAGTCAACAATACATCAATCGTTTGTCATTCTCTTTTTTTTATTAAAATATTCATAAACGTAAAGTACATTTTTTCTTATTAAAAATGTATTTTCTATATTTGTATACAGAGGACACTTAAAATTGCTATCTTGGCAATTATATTAGAAAATTAAAATAACCGAAAAGTTACTTATTATTCAAAGTTTTCTTAATAATGTATAGAAGATAGATAAAGGATCGATGATAAAACTGATTAAGAATTAGTTACTTTTGTGCAGCCGAAGATTTATTTATTGCATTTTAACATATCACAAAAGTAATATAAGCTGTCATTTACTGCAACAGATAATCTTCGAAAATCATTATTTTTTTTTTTAGGAGCAACGTCTGATCTTTCACAATTTATTACTTGATATTTCATCAATCAACTGAATAGGAGCAATTTTTTTCTTGATAAATATGTACAGATTTAATATATCCGCACCAGGGACGATATTCTTACACGGAGACGCCGTGTTGGGATATCAAGGACGTCGCATTGTAGCTGCCGTAGACAAGCGTATCAAACTTGAATTCGCTTCGCTACCTCCAAAAGTAGTTTTGGAAGAACATATCAGAATAAAATTTATGAGTTTAAACCTACAACTGGACATACCTTTAAATGCATTTTTTCAACACTTTTATAATCAAAATGGAATTCGCAAGTTTTCCCGTTACAATTTAATAAATAAGATAAAGGACTTCCTTGGATCATTGAATATTTATGATAGCAGTTACGACCCGTCAAACACTGCACAGTACTTATCTTTACAAGCATTCTTATACCTGCTCCTTTTTATGGCCCGCAAAGAAAATATTGAAATAACAGCATCTATTATCGTACAAATATCGTCGGATTTGGCGATCGGAAGGGGTTTAGGCAGTTCAGCAACGTTTGTAACGTGTCTTGCAGCGTGCTTTTGGCGTTGGTCACTTCTGCAGAAAGGGACTGTCCGTTATGAATTTAATAAAGATGATTACGAGAAAATCAAATATTATGCTTGGAAGGGCGAGAAGATAATATACAACAATCAGAACTCAATAAGCCTTTTCGTATCCGTGTATGGTGTAGTGTCAATATTTAAAGATAATATCAATGCAGCTGCAATGGATGAAATGCGACCCATGAAGATTCTGTTGATTGACTCGAATATTGATCAGAAAGAGAAAGCTGAGCAAATGGAAAACATATTCCATTTAAGTCTGTGTGTAGAGTTAATTATGACTAGTATCAAAAATATAACGTTTACGTCTTCTGTAGCAATAAGTGAAATTTACTTAAAATGCTTAGAAATACTAAATAATAGAAATGATACCAATTGGTCTCGTCTGTTACCGCTGGATAGCTATAAAAGATTATCGGTAGGTTTCTTGTTACAAATCTTCATGTTTCTTTATGTTTTTGCATATTACATTGCTTGCATGTGTCTACTTTATCACGAAGTCATTCGTCATAAACTTGAGTTTTCAACATGCGTTTTCAGATTTTTATCAATATGAATCAAGGTTTATTGAAGACATTAGGTTTGTCCAATCGGTATGTAGATATTATTTGCGCAACTGCGCGAAAATATTCACTTGGTTGCAAGATGACAGGTACTGGTGGATATGTGTTTATTCTCCTACTACCGAATACTAAGGATGAGATTACCGCTAAACTGAAGAATGATCTCGAATTGTATAATTTTTCTATTGTGGAAACTACTATATCTTGTGAAGGAGTTAGAATTGAATAGTATATTAGAATTATTTACTTAATATAAGAATTATGACTCTAATATTAGTATTTCCGATAAAAAGTTTTTCATATAAGGACATATAAATATATTTATATATAAATATGTATAAATATATATAATAATGTATGAAATATAATCATAGAAGTTTATATTCCTTTTTTTTAATTTTTGTTTGGCAGAAAAATAATAATAAAAAGATAAAATAGAATAGAAAAGAAAAGTAATAGTAATAATAATGGTAATAATATTTAATATATTTATTAAATATAATGTAGTATGCAATTAGTATTTTAATAAAAAAATTTTTATTAAATTTTTCTGGTTGATAAGTTAATGACACGGTATATATGAATACAAAAGAATAAGTTTTTCATTTTCAATGTTTTTATATTCAATGTATAATTATTAAATATTTGTATACACATGCATTATATGCAAACGTATAAAAAAAAATTTGTAGAACATATAATATTGCAGTGTTTTTTTATGAAATACATAAATTTGAAACATAAATTTGAAATCTTTATTTTTACAAACTGTTATTGTTAATTAACACTTATTAATTAACACTTATAAAAAAAGAAGTGTTTATTTACGGAAAATATATATTTTTTGAAGTACATATACTTTAAATTTTATTATCATAAAATATGATATCATATAACATATATAATAGATACCATTGTTTTCTATGGTAAATAAGGACTTAATACTTTTAATTAATCGAGGTAAAACACTTTTCATTTATGTAGTTATATTTAGCGACGCAATTTTAAACTTTTGTATGTCATGAATATAAATATATTCTTTCATATTAAAATAATTCTCGATTATTATACAAGAAAATATCTGCCATAAGATTTGTTCTTCTCTGTAAAATATATTTAGATACTTTAATATTAAAAAATTGATAATGCAAATAACTGCAAAAATTGATATATTAAAATTTCATCTACATACACAATAAATTCTGATTTGTTTACATTGTTAAAGAAACAGGATCAATATATCACAAGAAAATAATATTAAGTATTGTGTATATTTATCTTTAACTTTATATATATTCTCATTTTACATACGTCATTTTGATTTTGTTTATTAAATTAATTTTTCGAAAACATTATTTCTTCAATTCTCTTGTTGGAACACTTTGTTCGTAGTGAAAAATAATGACATATTATATCAATTTGTCACGTTTTTAAAATTAAATTTTAATCATCTACAATCTATTTCGTTTCAAGAAAAATTGTTACTGCCGCAGGTAATAATTTTAATTTTCAGATTGTATATATATCGTATTCAAACAATACATTGGTTAACCATCGTTGATCAATCATTTATTTTTTATCTTCCTTGATTAAAGCATTTTTATTTTATTGTATTGTATTGTGATAAAAACTTTGAATAATTAAAAATGTATTATTCAGGTCTATGTATAGAAAACTGAAGAAAATTCTTATTATTTTTTTCAATAATATCAAAAAATTGAGAAAGCCAAGGAGCCAATATTAAATTTTACTGCAATTTCTTAATGCATACAAGATAGATAAAGGATCGATAACAAGTTGATGACAAGTCAGTTATTTTTGTGCACTCAGTATTTTATTTATAGCGTTGTGACACGAAAGTTATAAATATAAGCTAATTTTTTTCGCTCCAATAAATATTCCTCAAGAATCAATGTTCTCGAGGTGTAATATCTGATTTTCTATCGACTTTATCGTTCGACATTACGACATTTTTCCAAGTAGAAAAAGTTTTTTTTCGTGAAAAATATGTACAAATTTAATATATCTGCTCCGGGAACAATAGTTTTACATGGCGATCACATGTTGGAACAAAATAGGTCTTGTATAGCTGCTGCTTTAGATATACGTACCAAGCTTCAATTCTCTTCGTTGCCTCCAAGAATAGTGCCGAGAGAACATATCAAAATAGAATTTTCTAGTATAAATTTATATTTATGTATACCATTAGATGCATTTTACGAACATTTTTATGATCAAAATGTTATTCGTTTATTTAAGTCTGAGGAAAGATTGATTGCCATAAAAGAATTTCTCGATCAAATAATTTCACCGGCACATACAATTCCATAGATGAAAGACAGACGTCATCTTTGCAAGCGTTTTTATATTTGCTCCTTTTTATTGCCTACGAAGAAAATATCCAAATAACTGCAACTATTATTGTGGAACTTTGGTCGGATCTACCGATTGGAAAGGGTTTAGGCAGTTCAGCATCCTTCGCGGTATGTCTCGCGGCATGTTTCCTACGTTGGTCGCTATTGCAAAAAGGGATTATTCGTTATGAATTTGAAAACGGAGACTACAAAAAAATTGAATATTACGCTTTGAACTGCGAGAAGACAATATACAACTCCCAGACCTTAATCAATGTCTTCACATCCGTATACGGTGCAATAATTACGTTCGATGATGAGGGCACTTGCGAAACTATGGAAGAAATGCTGCCCATGAAGATTCTGATTATCAATGCGAACATTAATCAGAAAATGGGAAGTACCTCATTTATCTTAGCAAAAAATATGGAATATGTAAAACCATGTGTAGATTTCATCATGAATAGTTTAGAAGCTGTAATGACCACATCTGTTCAAGCGGTTGATGAGATTTATTTTAAGTCGATAAATATACGTAAAGATGATAGCAATTGGCCAGTCCTTGTCCCATTGGATAGCTACAAAAGGATATCGGTACGTTTCATACTTAACATCATTTTTAACGTCATTACGAACTTAAATATCATTTTATGTTATATATATGTTTGCGTTATATTATTATTTAAGATATTTCTCATATATCATCCGTTGAAAACTTAATTTTTTTAATATGTTTACTTAAATATTTATTTTAATCTTTTAATATATGTTTAATTATATATTAATTTTTTTTATATATTAATTTATATATTAATTTTTTATATATTAATTTTCTTGTATATATTTAATATATGTTTTAATATATGTTTCATTACTCTATCTTTTATATATTCTGTAGACTTTCATCAATATGAATCAAGGATTATTAAGGGCAATGGGTATGTCTAGTCCAAACATAGACTTTATTTGTGCAATTGCACGAAAATATTCACTTGCAAGCAAGCTAATAAGTGATAGTGGATTTGCGTTTATTTTTCTATTACCGAACACCAACCATCAGCTCATCATTAATCTAACAAATGAACTTAAATCTTACAATTTTCCTGTAATAAAAACTACTATGGTTTGTACCGGAGTAAGAGTTGAATAGCACGTTAGTTAACACTAATTAGTAACTATTAAATATAACACAATTTCTGAAATGTTACAAAATGAATTTATTACTTTATATTTGTGTTTAAATATTAATTATAATTATATGTGTTTTATATATATATATTTTTATTTTTATTTAACATGTCGTTAATGCAATATATATGCATGTAATAAAACAAAAAAAATAAAGCAGACATTTTTTACATTAAATGTGATATTATTAAATATCTTTGTACAACTCATGCGTTTTGCAAATATATTCGAACAAATTTGTAAGAAATATAATATTATTGCGTTTTTTATGGATATGGATTTTATGGTATGAGTGATTTTTGAATTAACAAATTTTTATTATAATTTCAAATAATTATTAAAAATCTATTAGAGCTTATAAAGGACCTATGAGATGTTTAAAAATTTCAAAAAGATATCTTTCAAAAAGATATTTATTAGAAATATACATAGTCTTGAGTATTTTAATTTCATATTATATTTTGGGCTATTTATTGCTCGAGATGTGCATTTTTCCGAATAAGAAAAGCTTTTTCTTCGTAAAAGAAATAATAAGTTTAACATATCCGCATTGGGGACCGTAGTTTAACATAGAAATCCATAATAGGATATGATGGGACTTTCCATACAATTGTCTTATATATGACATTCTAATTTCCGTTGTTGTCTCCAAGAACAGTGTCCGTCGAATTTATTAAAATAGAATTTATAAATTTGAAATTATATTTGGATCTTATATCTTTAATCGCGAACATTTATAATTTCTCGAATATTTATATGGTGAAAGTATCACTTACTTAAGAATAAGCAATTAGGAAATGCGATAAGAGAATTCAAAATGCGATAAGAGTGAATTATTAAATGTTTGCTCCAACAAATGATTTTTACGAAGGAATACCAATTATGCTTACTTATATTTTTTATTGTTAATTTAATTATGTTTAATTTGATATTTTTATCTACTCCTTTGTATTGTTTATGAAAAAAACAAAATAACAATATCTATTGTCGTGGAATTGTAATCAAATTTGGCGGACAAAAGGCAGTTCAGCATCATTCGCAAAGTATTTAGTAACATGCATTTTGCATTAATCGCTTGTGCAAAAAGATTTGTTTTTCTTTATAAAATGAATTTAAAGATACTTTAATATGTTTGCAAAAATTGATATATTGAAATTTCATCTACATACACAGTGAAATCTAAATGTCGGTCCACAATGATGATTTAAGCTTTAAGAAATAAGAAATTAACCAATCTTATTCGAATATGAGAAAAATAATCGATTATGATTGGTTCAAGTTTTTAAAACTTAAAGATTAAATATCTATTGTGGACCGAAACTAATTTAATCACATTATTAACGAAACAGTACAATATATTACAGGAAAATAATATCAATTATGTTTATCTTTAACTTTATATATATATTCTCATTTTCCATACGTCATTTTGGTTTTGTTTATTAAACTAATTTTTCAAAATATTGTTATTTTTTTTCAACTCTCCTTGTTGGAACACTTTGTCCGTGGAACACTTTCCGTGGTGAAAAATAATGGCATATCATATTAATTTATCACATCTTTAAAATTGAATTTTAATCATCTACAATCTATTTTCATTTCAAGAAAGGTTACTGCCGCAGGTAATAATTTTAATTTTCAGATTGTATATATATCGTATTCAAACAACACATATTGATCAACGATTAGTTAATCATCGTTGATCAACCATTTATTTTTTGTCTTCCTTGATTAAAGCATTTTCATTTTATTGTATTGTATTGTGATAAAAACTTTGAATAATTAAAAACGTATTATTCAGGTCTATGTATAGAAAACTGAAGGAAATTCTTATTACTTTTTCAATAATATCAAAAAATTGAGAAAGCCAAGGAACCAATATTAAATTTTACTGCAATTTCTTAATGCATACAAGATAGATAGAGGATCGATAACAAGTTGGTGACAAGTCAGTTATTTTTGTGCACCCAGTATTTTATTTATAGCGTTGTGATACGAAAGTGATAAATATAAGCTGATTTTTTCGCTCCAATAAATTCCTCGAGAAGTAATATCCTCGAGGTATAATATCTGATTTTCTATCGATTTATCGTTCGATATTACAACATTTTTCCAAATAGAAAAAGTTTTTCTTTGTGAAAGATATGTACAAATTTAATATATCTGCTCCGGGAACAATAGTTTTACATGGCGACCACATGTTGGAACAAAATAGGTCTTGTATAGCTGCTGCTTTAGATATACGTACCAAGCTTCAATTCTCTTCGTTGTCTCCAAGAACAGTGCCGAGAGAACATATCAAAATAGAATTTTCTAATATAAATTTATATTTATGTATACCGTTAGACGCATTTTACGAACATTTTTATGATCAAAATGTTATTCGTTTATTTAAGTCTGAGGAAAGATTGGTTGCCATAAAAGAGTTTCTCGATGTATCAAATAATTTCACCGGCATATACAATTCCATAGATGAAAGACAGACGTCATCTTTGCAAGCGTTTTTATATTTGCTCCTTTTTATTGCCTACGAAGAAAATATCCAAATAACTGCAACTATTATTGTGAAACTTTGGTCGGATCTACCGATTGGAAAGGGTTTAGGCAGTTCAGCATCCTTCGCGGTGTGCCTCGCGGCATGTTTCCTACGTTGGTCGTTTTTGCAGAAAGGGATTGTTCATTATGAATTTAAAAACGAAGACTACAAAAAAATTGAATATTACGCTTTGAACTGCGAGAAAACAATATACAACTCTCAGACCTTAATCAATGTCTTCACATCTGTATACGGCGCAATAACTACGTTCGATGATGAGGGCACTTGCGAAACTATGGAAGAAATGCTGCCCATGAAGATTCTGATTGTCGATGCGAACATTAATCAGAAAATGGAAAGTACCTCATTTATCTTAGCAAAAAATATGGAATATGTAAAACCATGTGTAGATTTCATCATGAACAGTTTAGAAGCTGTAATGACCACATCTGCTCGAGCGGTTGATGAGATTTACTTTAAGTCGATAAATATACGTAAAGATGATAGCAATTGGCCAGTCCTTGTCCCATTGGATAGCTACAAAAGGATATCGGTACGTTTCATACTTAACGTCATTTTTAACGTCATTACGAACTTAAATATCATTTTATGTTATATATGTTTGCGCGTACTCATTTAAGATATTTCTCATATATCATCCGTTGAAAACTTAATTTTTTTAATATGTTTACTTAAATATTTATTTTAATCTTTTAATATATGTTTAATTATCTTTTATATATTATTAATTTTCTTGTATATATTTAATATATGTTTTAATATATGTTTCATTACTCTATCTTTTATATCTGTAGACTTTCATCAATATGAATCAAGGATTATTAAAGGCAATGGGTATGTCTAGTCCAAACATAGACTTTATTTGTGCAATTGCACGAAAATATTCACTTGCAAGCAAGATAACAAGTGATAATAGATTTGCGTTTATTTTTCTATTACCGAACACTAACCATCAGCTCATCGTTAAACTAACAAATGAACTTATATCTTACAATTTTCTTGTCATTGAAACTACTATGGTTTGTACCGGAGTAAGAATTGAAGCACGTTAGTTAACGCTAATTAGTAACTATTAGTAACTATTAAATATAAGACAATTTTTGAAATGTTACAAAGTGAATTTATTACTTTATATTTGTGTTTAAATATTAATTATAATTATATGTGTTTTATATATATATATTTTTACTTTTATTTAACATGTCGTTAACGCAATATATATGCATATAATAAAATAAAAAAAAATAAAGCAGATATTTTTTACATTAAATGTGATATTATTAAATATCTTTGTACTCATGCGTTGTGCAAATATATTCGAACAAATTTGTGAGATATAATATTATTGCGTTTTTTATGGATATGATATAAGTGATTTTTGAATTAACAAATTTTTATTATAATTTCAAATAATTATTAAAAATCTATTAGAGCTTATAAAGGACCTATGAGACGTTTAAAAATTTCAAAAAGATATTTATTAGAAATATCCATAGTCTTTTAATCTTAATTTCATATTAAATTTTGGGCTATTTATTGCTCGAGATTGTGCATTTTTCCAAATAAGAAAAGCTTTTTTTTCGTAAAAGAAATAATACAAGTTTAACATATCCGCGTTGAGGACCGTAGTTTAACATAGAAATCCATAATAGGATATGATAGGACTTTCCATACAATTGTCTTATATATTAAATTCTAATTTTCGTTGTTGTCTCCAATAGTGTTCGTCGAATTTATTAAAATAGAATTTATGAATTTGAAATTATATTTGGATCTTATATCTTTAATCGCGAACATTTATAATTTCTCGAATATTTATATGGTGAAAATATCACTTACTTAAGAATAAGCAATTAGTAAATGCGATAAAAGAATTCAAAATGCGATAAGAGAACTATTAAATGCTTGCTCCAACAAATAATTTTTACGAAGGAATACCAATTATGCTTACTTACGTTTTTTATTGTTAATTTAATTATGTTTAATTTGATATTTTTATCTACTCCTTTGTATTGTTTATGAAAAAAACAAAATAACAATATCTATTGGAATTGTAATCAAATTTGGCGGACAAAAGGCAGTTCAGCATCATTCGCAAAGTATTTAGTAACATGCATTTTGCATTAATCGCTTGTGCAAAAAGATTTGTTTTTCTCTATAAAATGAATTTAAAGATACTTTAATATGTTTACAAAAATTGATATATTGAAATTTCATTTACATACACAGTGAAATCTAAGTGTCGGCCCACAATGATGATTAAAGCTTTAAGAAGTAAGAAATTGACCAATCTTATTCGAATATGAGAAAAATAAACGATTATGATTGGTCAAGTTCTTAAGACTTAAAGATTAAATACCTATTGTAGACCGAAACTAATTTAATCACATTATTAAAGAAACAGTACAATATATTACAGGAAAATAATATCAATTATGTTTATCTTTAACTTTATATATATATATTCTCATTTTCCATATCATCATTTTAGTTTTGTTTATTAAATTAATATTTCAAAACATTGTTATTTTTCTTCAACTCTCCTTGTTGGAACACTTCGTCCGTGGAACACTTTCTGTGGTGAAAAATAATGGCATATCATATTAATTTATCACATTTTTAAAATTGAATTTTAATCATTTACAATCTATTTTCGTTTCAAGAAAGATTGTTACTGCCGCAGGTAATAATTTAAATTTTCATACACACACACATATATATATATATTGTATTCAAACGACATATATTGATCAACGATGGGTTAACCATTTATTTTTTATCTTTCTTGATTAAAGCATTTTTATTTTATTGTATTGTATTGTGATAAAAATTTTGAATAATTAAAAACGTATTATTCAGGTCTATGTATAGAAAACTGAAGAAAATTCGTATTACTTTTTCAATAATATCAAAAAAATTGAAAAAGCAAAAGAGCCAATATTAAATTTTACTGCAAATTCTTAATGAATATAAGAGAGATAGAAGATCGATAAAAAGTTGGTGACGAGTCAATTATTTTTGTGCACTCAGTATTTTATTTATAGCGTTGTGACACGAAAGTGATAAATATAAGCTGATTTTTTCGCTCCAATAAATTCCTCGAGAAGTAATATCCTCGAGGTATAATATCTGATTTTCTATCGACTTATCGTTCGATATTACAACATTTTTCCAAATAGAAAAAGTTTTTCTTTGTGAAAGATATGTACAAATTTAATATATCTGCTCCGGGAACAACAGTTTTACATGGCGACCACATGTTGAAACTAAATAGTTTTTGTATAGCGGCTGCTTTAGATATACGTACCAAGCTTCAATTCTCTTCGTTGCCTCCAAGAATAGTGCCGAGAGAACATATCAAAATAGAATTTTCTAGTATAAATTTATATTTATGTATACCGTTAGACGCACTTTACGAACATTTTTATGATCAAAATGTTATTCGTTTATTTAAATCTGAGGAAAGATTGATTGCCATAAAAGAGTTTCTCGATGTATCAAATAATTTCACCGGCATATACAATTCCATAGATGAAAAACAGACGTCATCTTTGCAAGCGTTTTTATATTTGCTCCTTTTTATTGCCTACGAAGAAAATATCCAAATAACTGCAACTATTATTGTGAAACTATGGTCGGATCTACCGATTGGAAAGGGCTTAGGCAGCTCAGCATCCTTCGCGGTGTGTCTCGCGGCATGTTTCCTACGTTGGTCGCTTTTGCAGAAAGGGATTGTTCGTTATGAATTTGAAAACGGAGACTACAAAAAAATTGAATATTACGCTTTGAACTGCGAGAAGACAATATACAACTCCCAGACCTTAATCAATGTCTTCACATCCGTATACGGCGCAATAACTACGTTCGATGATGAGGGCACCTGCGAAACTATGGAAGAAATGCTGCCCATGAAGATTCTGATTGTCGATGCGAACATTAATCAGAAAATGGGAAGTAGCTCATTTATCTTAGCAAAAAATATGGAATATGTAAAACCATGTGTAGATTTCATCATGAACAGTTTAGAAGCTGTAATGATCACATCTGCTCAAGCGATTGATGAGATTTACCTTAAGTCGATAAATATACGTAAAGATGATAGCAATTGGCCAGTCCTTGTCCCATTGGATAGCTACAAAAGGGTATCGGTAGGTTTATTGCAGACTTAAATATTATTTTATATTATATAGTGTTTGCGCGTGGTACTCATTTAAGATATTTCTCATATATTGTCATCCGTTGAGAACTTTATTTTTTTAATTTATTTACTTGAATATTTATTTCAATCTTTTAATATATGGTTAACTATCTTTTGTATATTAATTATCTTGTATATATTTAATGTATGTTTAATTATTTTATCTTTTATGTATTTTGTAGACTTTCATCAATATGAGTCAAGGATTATTAAGGGCATTGGGTATATCTAGTCCAAACATAGAAATTATTTGTGCAATTGCACGAAAATATTCATTTGCGAGCAAGATAACAAGTGATAGTGGAACCGTGTTTATTTTTCTATTACCGAAGACCAACCATCAGCTCATCGCTAAATTGAAAAATGAACTTAAATTTCACAATTTTCCTGTCATAGAAACTACTATGGTTTGTACCGGAGTAAGAGTTGAATAGCACGTTAGTTAACACTAATTAGTAACTACTAAATATAAAACAATTTTTGAAATGTTACTAAGTGAATTATTACATTATATTTGTGTATATTTTATTTTAAATATTAATTATAATATCCAATTATTATATCCATTGTATATATATATATTTTTTACATTTTTTTGACATGTTGTTGACGCAATAATACATATGTATGTAATAAAACAAAAAAAATAAAGACACTTTTTACATTAAATGTGATATTAAACATTTTTGTACGCATGCGTTGTGCAAATATATTTAAACAAATCTGTAAGAAATATAATTTTATAATATAAGAAATATAATATTGCGTTTTTTATGGAACGTATGATTGATTTTTGAATTAACAAATTTTTATTATTATTTTAAATTATTATTAAAAATTTATTAAAGCTTATAAAGAACTCACGAGTTTCAAAAAGATATTTACTTTCAAAAAGATATTTATTAGAAATATACATAGCTATAGATTATTTAAGTATTTTGATTTGATATTGAATTGATATTGATTTGATATTGATTTGATATTGATTTGATATTGATTTTGATCTATTTATCGCTCGAGATTGTACACTTTTCTATATAATAAAAACCTTTTCTTCGTAAAAGAAATATACAATTTAACCTATTCACGTTGGGGACCGTATTTTTATCTTATCATTTATTTGTATCAATAAAGATTATAATAAGAATGTTTTGTAAATAAAATTTATCTGAAACAATTTTGTACTTTCACAAAGAAAAGAATAGTCTTTAATGATGTAGAAACAAATGTTAATTTGTTCAAGTTTAATTAATATTACTATTATTATACTGATAACTTTTTAGATACGCACAACATATTAAAATACAAAATTTCTATCATGACAGCTGTATTCATAAAGTAAACGCAGCGAGAGAATTAATCAGCATTGCGAAATATTTCGATATATTTGAGATTTTGATATTATCCTTTTTTTTTAGAGAGAAATACATATGAAATATACTATTTATCAAAATATCTAATAAATTTCTAATTATAATAGATAGATAGACCTTGTGCTGCCAGCTGACGTGAAATATAAATGATATTTTGCTCGATATCATGGTCGATGTTAGATCTCGTGTTTTCGTTTATATTTATGTTTCTTCTCTATTTATTCTCTGTGTCATTTTAGTACTGTCTGTTAAATCTATATTACAAAGAAATCGTCGTTTTTCTCGTTCCTTTGCAAAGATATCGTTTGCAGGAGATTAATGTTAAAAAGATAACATCAATCTGTAACAAGTCAATAATTGCTAAATTTTTATTTTCTTTAAGTTTTAATCGTGGATTTTGGTTTACTTTAAGAGAAGGACCTTTGTCGTTAAGTATATAAGCACCACATTATTCTAGTATACACAAACGTATGAATCTAACATTTTTTTATTAAAGCATTGTTATATCTAATAGAAAGCTTGAAATGTTATTCATTTTTTTTGATAATCGACAATATGTAATTCAGATTCGTACATAGATAAAGAAAATTTTTGCTGTCTTGCTGACGACTTGAATCTTATTATATAAATTTTCTTCATAATAAGTTGATAATTAATCGTCTTTATTGCGATCAGCGTTATTTTTGGTGTAATTTATTTATATAATACGAAAGAGAAGTAAATATATTACATGCAAACAAACCACTTTTGCGATACAAAAGCATGATTAATTAATAATTTAATTTTTTATAATTTACCGTAGATTCGACATTACCGTAATTTTCCAAGGTACTAGAATTTTTTTCGCAAGATGCACAACTTCGAGTTATCCGCACCAGGAGCGATATGTTTATATGGAGACTCTGTGATAATGTACAAAATGACTTGTGTGGGAGCCAGCATAGGTCTGTATACCAGACTAACATTTAAATCGCTGTGTTCAAAATCTATCGAGAGGGATTTCATCGAATTCGAGTACTCCAACATCAATTTGCATATAAGGGTACCTTTAATGACATTTCTCGCATACTTCTTTCATGAGAACGTTAATCGCAATGCTCATGTAACTCGGATACGCGATGAGGTAGAGAGTTTTGTCAATTCATTAAGACGCATGTACATCGGCATGTATGAACCCAACAATCGCAATCATCTGTTAAGCTTACGGGCGTTCTTCTTTCTGCTCGTGCTTATTTCATACACATCACGTCATGACATAAAACAATCTTTTGTCGTAAAAGTGTCAACGGAATTGGCGATCGGACAGGGTCTGGGCAGCTCGGCATCGCTCGCGGTATGTTTCGCGGCGTGCTTTTTGCGTTGGTCCATTCTGCAGAAAGGAATTGCCATTGAGGAATGGGACATGTTCGGGAAATCATTAATCATAGAATTCGCTGCTATTTGCGATTCCATTATTTTCAATGCCGAATCTAAACTTAAAGCCGTTGTATCGACGTGCGGCTCGGTAGTGGCGTTCAACGAGGGAAAGGTGTCTCGGATATATTTGAATATACCTAACATGAAGATCATGTTGGTCTTTTCGAACTTCGGCGTGAGAGTACCAACCGTGAAAGAGATACAAAGATATGTGCTGAAGCATTCCATCACTGTTTCCATCTTAAACATTGTAGAAAATATATCAAAAATGTCTGTTCAAACGTTTAACATGATTGAAAAGAAAAGGTTGCCCTTACCTGAAATGGGACACCTCTTTTTACCTTACTACGAAAAGTTATCGGTAAGTTCTGATTTTATGAAATTTTGTCAGTATCCTGCACTTGCGTGTAGTCAGTTCTTTAAGAATATATTACATTTATTTTTATAATTTTGTTTATTATTCGCAATGAAAAAATTGTAAAAAATTTACACAGATTATTCTAGACAGATTAAATTGCATTTTAAAAATATAATAAAGTTCGACAATGATTTAGAATCTAGTAAAAAAATTATTTAAATAAATAAGAAGAAGCGTGCTCTAATGAAAAATGTAATTAAGAAATAATAACCAAAATTTCACAGATTATTTTGAATATGTAAAATATTGATATAAAAAAAAATTGAAATTTTTTTATTGTCATTATTTCTTAATTTTATTAAAGCACACATTTCTACTTTATATTTAAATATTTTTTAAATCATTACAAAATTTTTTGTATTACTTTTAAATACAATCTAGAATAATCTATAATTTTTAATTCATAATTTTTTAATTATAAAAATATTAAATATTTATTAATAAAAATATATGTAATATATGTAATACGTCCTTAAGATTCAGTACATTATTCGTGAATAATTTTAGTCACCTTTTAGTCACCTTTTATCGTATACTTTATAGGAATTTCTACGCATGAATCAAGAAATATTGTGTGCGATATACATGGTACATCCGAATACAAAACTTATATGTGCAATTGCGCAAAAGTATTTATTCGCAGGAAAATCCATAAGTATAAATAAAAGTGCGTTCATCTTGCTGCCACCAAACATTACAGACGAAATAATAATACAACTTATGAGTGAATTCAACTCGTTTAATATGATCGCCATATTAACCAGTTTATGTTGTGACGGATTGCGACTGACAGAAACAATATAATATAGCAGTAAATTATAAAGAATCAAGAATAAAATAATGTAATTATAATACAATATAAAAAATATCTATAAAAAATATCTATAAAAAATAAAATGTTTTTGTTAAATTAATAAAAATTGACAATATCAGGATGAAGTCATAGTATGACTTCAATAATAATTAAACTAAAAAGAACATATATAACATAATAATTAATTTACAGTAATTGTAAAGTAATAATAAACAAAATAATACTGTTAAATTTTATTAGTGTAAAGGAACTCTTAGAATTATTATTAATTAATAAAGCAATATGATATTTATTTTAATATGTAATTGTTTAATTTTGGTATAAATATTGGTTAGCGGCTTTTTTAATAAATTTGTATAAAAATAATTGATTAATTTCTGTATAAAAAATGAGCTTACTAAAATTATACTAAAACTAACAAAAACTTTCATACTTTTTACTAGAAAAAAAATTTATATAATTTTTTTTCAGAATCTAATTTACAATATTCTTTTTACAATATACAAAACTAGATATGAATGTTCTCCAACATCATAAAGAAAATCTTAATGCAGAATAAATATATCACACTTTTGTTTTTAGAAAAACAAATTTATATAAATTTTTTTCAGAAATCTAATTTTCAATATCAGAATCGAATTTTTAATATAGAAAACTAGATATGAATGTTCTTCAACATTATAAATAAAATCTTAATGCAAAATAAATATATCATATTGCAAGATAATTTTGTATTTTTTTTCCATATTTTCTAATTAAAAATTTAATTTAAAAATATACTTTTATTTCGATAAGTTTTTCTTGAATATTAATAAGATCTTTCTTGCTTGAACTAAATTTAAGAATATTCTAACAAAAATGCCAAAAATTAATAAATATCTATTTGTTATGAAAATATACATATATATGCATAAATTATAGCAAGAATATCTAATTAAATTATTACCTTGATAGACAATTCAAACAATATAATAATGTCAGAAAATCTATTTATGTTTGTGTATGTTTTGTCAAATATACATTTAAAATCATACACTTAAAATAAAGAAATCATGTTTGTATAGTTTTAATCATCTCACTGTAGAGAAAGAAATCCGTACATTATGTATTAAAAAAGAAGTATTTAATTAATAATAATCAATTAATAATCAATTAAATTTAATAATCAATTAATTTATTTTTAAAAAAAAACTTTTGTCACGGTATGTAATATTCTCAAACTATATAAATATATTTTTTTTATTAAAACATTAATATAAATTTTGGAATTTCAGTAAAAGTGTTTAAGTCAAGCATTAAAAGGAATAACAAGATTTACAATCTCTCAATAACATATTAGAAAAATAATAAAATTGAAGGTTGAATCTTAATAAATCTTCTGCACGTCAATATAATAAATTGATGATAAATTGTTTTTATTATAGCCAATGTTATGTAGAACGTTATTTTTTTTTATGTAACACGTGAAAGAAAGGTAAATTATTCACGGGCGATACTTATGAAATAAATTTTGAAGTAAAATAAATAAATATATTTATTTATTTATTATTCATTTTACTTCAACATTTATACTTATTTGTGAAAATCACGAATGCGAAATTTGATCTTTTATGACCTATTGTAGATTCGACGGAACGCCCATTTTCTGAATACTTGAAGTTTTTCTTCGTGAGAACAATGTATAGATTCAATTTGTCCGCACCGGGAATGGTATTTTTATATGGAGACGCAATGATAATGTCCGCAAAGACTTGCATAGCAACCAGTTTAGACATGCGTACCAGGCTTTCATTCGCTTCGCTACCCCCAAGAGTCGTTCCGATTGAGTATATAGAACTGGATTTTTCCAGTATCAATTTACATGTGAAGATACCGTTGACTCAATTTCTTTTACACTTCTTCTATCATAACATCAAACGCGATGTTAATTCAATTCAGATATACAACGGGGTAAAAAGTTTTCTCGACTCATCAATGGACACGTACATCGGCACGTATGAACGCAGCAACGTTGATCATCAGTCAAGTTTACAAGCGTTCTTCTTTCTACTCGTATCTGTTGCATACAAAGAATCTATAGAAATAACAAGTTCTTTTATCGTAAAAGTATCAACGGAATTGACGATCGGAGAGGGTCTGGGCAGTTCGGCATCATTCGCGGTGTGTCTCACAGCGTGCTTTCTGCGCTGGTCGCTTCTACAGAAAGGAATTGTCCGTTATGAATTTGATGGAGATGATAAACTATTGATAGCGAGTTATGCTATCGATTGTGATTGTATTATATATCAGTCCACCTCAGTGATGGCAGTAAATGTATCGGTAAAAGGCTCGATATTAATCTTCAACGAGGGATTACCGATTAAGTTATTTTCTAAAGATTCTATGTTTAGAATAAAGATCATATTGGTCTACTCGAATGTTAGTATGAAAACGGTAAATTTGAGCGATATCGAAAGATCTGTGATGACTAATCCTATCGCTATTTCCATCCTAAGCATTATGGAAGCTTTAGCAAAAGCATCCGTTCAAACGTTTATTGAAATTAACGAAAACATATTTTACCTATGTCGCGGTGATATCATAAAACCTGTAAATCTCAATCTCCCTCTCAAGTTATACAAAAAATTATCGGTAAGTTCAAGTTTCATTCTATGATTAATAGCTTTTTGAATTTGTGAGTGGTCACTTCTATAAAATTATCATACGTAGTTATCCTTGAGTAACTTTATAGTTATATCTTAACTTATAGTTATATCTTAATATATATTTTACAGGAACTCATCCAAATGAATCAAGGATTACTGCAAGCATTAAATATGTCACATCCAGAGATAGATATTATTTGTGCAATTGCGCAAGACTCTTCACTCGCAGGGAAGCTCACGGGTAAAGGTAAAGGTGGATATGCATTCATTTTATTGCCACCAAACACTACGGACGAAGACATCACAAAATTGATAGATGAATTCAAGTCGCATAATTTTCCCGTCACGTTAACCAGTTTATGCGGCAACGGAGTGATAGTTGAATAATATGCTAAAATTAACGACTTAAATACAATGATTAAATATAATATAAATAAAAATAATTTTATTATAACAAAAATGAAATTTATAAAAAATAAAGTTTTACATATATTTTATACATTATTAAACTAATTAATACAAAAATAGACTTTTACAATTAATACATAATGTTTATACATTTTTTAATTTTAATTTAATTACTATTAAAATCATATGTGTATACAAACTAGCATAACAATTTTAGCATATGTAATATTTTCTATTATATCCGTTATATACTTTATATGCAATTATTAAACGTTTCTAAATATATATCAAATGGCAACGTAAATTTCTTCGAGTAAATTTTATAAAAAAAACTGATCGATTGTTGCGTTAAGATATAAATTATAATAAGAATATCTAATTAAATTACCTCTCCTTGATGGACAAACCAGAATGAAATAATGATAAAATTATGTTTAAATACAGATAATGTATCAAGATAGCATAAGTTCAACGAAAATATAATAAATTAAGCAAATTTATTATTATTAGCACAATATTAATATTAGCACATGTTTATTACAATAGGAATCTGTTACATTCAGAATGCAACAAAAATAATAACAAAAAATGGTATAGTAATGAATACTTATTTGATACCAACAGTACAAATTCGTATCAAATATATTTATTACTATATTAATATATTATTACATTACTATATTTATTATTATATTTTAAAATATTTCTTACAAAAATTTAATTTAATACTAGCCAATATAATACTGGAAATTACTTATTTTGAGTATTATAAACATTATTATTCAATGCTTTTAATACTCAAAATAAATAATTAATCGTTATCTTTCACTAAACTTTTTTAAGAAATGTAATAAATTAATTGTAAATTTGTTATTGCAGTGTATTTATAATGTATGTGTTCAATTTTGATATTTTAATTAATGATAACATATGCATATAAATGATATATACATAATCGCTTAAAAGTTTGGATTCTATAGATAGAACTATATTTTTACTAAATATAATATATAATAAACTAATAATTATTTTATTAAGAATTAATTTATAAACGTACATTATTTGGAAGTTTAAATCTCAGATAAAAATAAAAACAATATTATATATAAATGATTAAACTGTTGAAAAAACTGGACAAAGCTGTGTGAAAAGACGTTCCATTTCTAAAAAAGTATGCGGAAAATTTTACAAGAGATTTGTTACCAAAAGAACCATTCAAAAATAAATCAAAGAAATGCCAAGATTGTATCAAGTAATTAAAGCAAAAAAAAGATAATTTTTTATAAAAAGAAAATTTGATTTATTTGACAAGTTAACATCGTAAATACTTCTTGTCCTGTTTATTATAAATCTTACCTAAATAGCATATATTTATGTATTTTAATACTATCAATAAAATATCTGTATAAATAAAAAGAAAAATTAATTTATTCAAATAAGATGGTCCAAATTTTTGTGCGATATATATGAATAGTATATATGAATTTATATAGAAAAAGAAATAAAATTATATTTCTTACATTTCAGTAATTTCATGTAATTATGTATATATATATATATATATATATATTAATGAAAATATCTTACAAATAAATACTATAAAAAAGTAATAGGAATGTCTGTATTTTTGTACCAACAAGTTCGCAAAAATATTAATGTTAATAAAAAGCTTATATTAACACATTTCTATTAGTCAGGAAAATGTACATATATATATACAAATTAATAAAAAGAATATCTAAATTTTCAGTCTTGATATACTAATTTAATAATTCTAATTTTTACATAGATGTCAGGTATTCTATTTATGTTAGTTTCGTTTATATGTATATTTATGTATATGTTCAATATACCTGTCAAACTGATATTACGGAAAAGATCGTTATTTTTCACATTGTTATAACAATCGTTGCGGAAAGATCTTGTCCAAAGTATATTTTGAAGAAACTAATACGTAAGTACGAATGTATTACTTTTAAGTATTTAAGTGATTAAGTAAGATTAAGTTATCTTTGATTTATTTAAAAAAAGAATTTCTGAATGATGTACAATACATTCTCAGATTATGTAAATTACGTACGTTTTAACTATTTTTTATTAAAACACAGTACATATTTAAGAATTATACATTTCAGTAATCAAAGATGTGTAATCTAGATATTTGCACAAAGAGAAATAAAGAAAGTTTATGGTCTCCTTACGATAATATGAGAAACATAAGGAAAACAATAAAATTTGATTAAATCTTATTTATATATTTTATGTATTGATAACGTTAATGTCATTGTTTTGATTAAAATTTATTTAAATCACCGTTGATGAATTATTCATTTATGACACAAAGCAAAAAATAAATATATTACTTGATATTTGTATTTTAGATATAGGTACATCTGAGGAATCCACGGATGCAAAATCTGATTTTGTATAACCTAATACAGACTCGACGCTAATTTTTTGAATACTAGATCTTCTTTTGTGAGAAACATGTACAGATTCAACTTGTCGGCACCAGGAACAGTGTACTTAGTTGGAGAACACGTAATGGGATATAATAAAACTTGCGTAGCAGCCAGTTTAAACAAGCGTACCAAAGTGATGTTCATATCAATACCTCTAGAATTACAGTCACCGAAAATTATTGAAATAGAATTTTCCAGCATCGGTTTATGCGTAACGATACCTTTAGATAAATTTAGATCATTCTTCGAAATGGATAATTCAGCTTGTACTTTTACTGATAATGAGTTCCATAAAAAAATAGAAACTTTTATCAACATCATACAGAAGACAAACTTAAGCACACTTGAGCCGAGAAATAAAGTACACCAAGCAAGCTTACAAGCGTTCCTTTATCTCTTGGTTGATATTAGCCGTAAGGAACAAATTGATGTTACACCATTTGCAATAAAAGTAGTGACAGAAATGATGATGGGACATGGTTTGGGCAGCTCCGCGTCATTTGTCGTGTGTCTCGCGACGTGTTTTTCCCACTGGTCTCAATTGCAAAAAGGATTTTCTTTTCAAGATAAGCTTGATAAAGAAAAAATTGCGGAATACGCTTCCAAGTGCGATTCGGTTATATTCAATTCTCAGAATACAATCGAAAGTAATGTATCCGTGTATGGCTCAGTAACAATATTCGATGGAATATTACAAAATCAGGCATTCACTTATCCACCCATACGGATTTTATTAGTCTTTTCGAAAGTTAGCAAAAAATTTACCTAAACAAACTATGCACAAACGTGTGATAAAACATTTAGATTCGTTTGCTGATTCAATTTTTAATAGTATTAATGCTATATCTGAAAAATGTATTGAAATATTTCGTGAAATAGAAGAAGATAGAGAATATACAAATAATCTTATAAAGACGAAAACGGAAATATCTCCCGTATATCGCACGAGATTACCAGTAAGTGGTCATTATACAAATTTTGATTATACTTTGTTGTCTGTATATTCGTTTGCCTTTAAAAATAGTTATTTCGTATTGTTATCGGCATCTGAAACTTGTAATTTTCGTATGTATGTACTCTTTCAGAAACTCATTCGAATGAATCAAGCATTACTGAAGACATTAGGCGCCTCGTCTCCAAATATAGACTTCCTTTGTAATATTGCGTGGAAGTACAAACTCGTGGGGAAGCTTACAGGCAAAGATAAAGGTAGATTGATGTTCGTTTTGCTGCCAATGAATTTAAAAATGCAAGGATACATTGCTGCAATCACAGAAGAATTCAAGAAACACAGTTTTTCTACCGTGACGACCGAGTTATTTTGCGATGGAGTGAGATTGGAATAGGATGATGAGATTAATCATGTAATAGAAATGACTAAATATAAACAACGTATCAAGATAACGTAATTTTAACAAAAAGGTAAATAGTAGGCGAAATAGAAAACAATATAAAACATTTGTTATAAAATAATATTAAAAGTAACAATAAGAAATAGTAAAAAGGATTAATACGCTATTTAAAATAAAAATACTTAAATTAAAAATATTTTAAATTAAAAAAATTAAAAATTAAAATTAATTAAAATTAAAAATTAAAAATATTTAAAATAAAATAAAAATAAAAATTAATACACTATAGGTACTTACATATATTTAGGTATAATGTATTCATTTTAGATACATTTATCACTGTATTCTGGAATATGAGAGATCACCACGCCCGGCACGGGCAATAGAACTGAGAAGATTTTAGAATATATAATAAAATATATAATAAGTTAATTACATATTTTCTACTACATTGTTTTTATAACAAATGTGCTCAATTTTGATTTTCATATTAATGACTATGTATCTATACAGTATATAAATATGAATTAATATGACGTAGAATTATATTTCTTACATTTAATATATATTTATTATAAATTATATATTCATTCTATATGTAATTATATATTTAACATTTCAATATGTTTCTATATAATGTCTTTTATCTTGTATAAACAATGTATTAAGATAACATAGTTTTTATAAAAATGCATGCAATAAAAAAATAAGAAAAGAAACTAATTATAAAAATAAATATTTGCTACATATTAAGAATAACAACAAAAAGTAGTATAATACTTATTATTATAAAAAATACGTATTTGTATTAAATGTATCTATTTTTATATTTTAAAATAATATTAAAATAATATATTAATTATAAATTGCTTACTGAATTATGTTTATCTATGTAATCAATTTTTATATATTCACTTTCTTATTAATGATGATATGATGTATATCGATAGATACAGCCTAATAACGTATACGTAAAGAGAGTTTTGCTGAATGTCTAAAAATTTAGTAAAATTTGAAACAGAAATCAGTTTGAGTCATAATAATAATTATATAAGGCACTTAAGCATAATAATAATATTCAAAAATTTTGATATTTCAATAGATATTAAAATTTTAATGTCCTACAAAATAATAGCCCAATAAAATTATTTCTAAACCTATCTCAAATTTTAGATCATTTAGCAGAATACTTCTTTCCGAGTAGAAAGTGAAACAAAATCATCTTTTTTACATGTAATATTCTTTTTTACCTGTAGTTATTTACTTTTCTATATATGTGCATTAAATAATGATACGAAACTTCAAATAAATTCATAAAGACATATGTGATTAATTTTTGTAACAATAAGTTCACTAAAACTATACATTAATAAAATATCAAAATTGACAAATTTTTATTCATAAGAAAATGATATATATGTGTGGTTATAAGAGTATTTAAATCGTTATTCTAGATAACAATCTTAATATATCAATATCAGAAATTCTGTTTCTTTGATTCTTTGATTTTGTGTGTGTGTGTCACTTTAATATCTGTCAAATATACTATGATAAAAATATTTTCGATAAAGAAATCATTATTTTTTATAACAACAAGAAGAAGATAGATGGCATTAATCGACAGTCTTAGTGTTGAAATAATTATTCTTTCGTTTTCATATATAAATTTAAGTTCGTTACTTTTTATATTGTCTATCATCATCACAGTTAAATCCAAATTAAGTTATGCATTGGAGAAAATAAATAGATCGATATATGATTGTTAAATATTTAATTGGTAAGTTTTAATTATCTCTAATTTTTTAGAAAAAGAAATTTTTGTTATGATACACATATAATCGTTTTCAGATTATATAAATGTATCTATGATTAATGATTTTTCATTAAAATGTTATAAATTTTAATAATCAAAAGTATATAATTCAGATATTTGTATAGAAAGAAATGAAAAAATTTATATTTTCTATGTTACAATATCAAAAAGATAAAGAAAGTTGAAGATAAAATTTTATTAAATTTACTTTATGAGTCAGATAATGGATTAATTTTATTGTATAATTATATTTATCAAAGTCAAATGAGATATTTATTTATTTATTTATTTATTTATTTCAAAATATAGATACATTTAAGAGAATCGTGAATGTGAAAATCCAATTTTACATAATCTACCTAGATTTGATGTTACGTTAATCTTTAATAGAAATCCTGAATTGATCATGATCAGAAATTTTTTTTTGTGCAAAGCATACTGATATTGAGTTTCATGAGATAATAATAGATTTTATCAGCATATTAACGACATATATTATATATTCGATGGCACGTTTGATCCGAGCGATAACACATTAGTTAAACTTCAGTCAAAACTGAGAAATTTCTATTTACCAGGAAAATGTACATATATATATATATAAATTATGACAAAAGTATCTAATTAAATCATTATTCTTGGTGTACAATTTTAATGTTACATTGATTCTGTTTATGTTTGTTTTGATTGTATGTGTCACATTAGATTTTGTAAATTGTTATATTGTAAAGAAGTTTATAAAGAAGTCGTGTTATTATAATTATCGCTGTCAAAAGAACTCATTATATCTTATGTGTTGAAAGAAATAAGTAATCTATCGAACGATTTTAAACACATAAATGATAAATTTTAGATTTATCTCTGATTAAGGTAAAGAAAATTTTATAATTATTTAGATAATGTATTATTCTTAAATTAAAGAAAAAATGTTTTAATATCTTTTCTCTAAAATATTAATATAAATTTTAGAATAAAAGAATTTTAATAAATCTATAATCTAGGCATTTGTAGAGAAAGAAATAAAAATAATCAAACAACAAAATAGGAAAATCTAAGCAACTGATTGTTAAATCGCACTAAATCTTTTTTACATATATTGACAGAAAACTAATAGCGAATTAAAAATGAGTAATCTTCTTGTTGCAATCATCGTTTATTTATAATATTATTCATTTCTATAATGTAAAAGATTAAGATTAAGATAAATTAATATTACATGAGAACTATTTTTGCTGATATAATTTGAGAGCCAAGGAAGCAACTTCTGATTTTTTACAATCAATATTACCAATTTATCGAAATTTTTATTCAGATTAGGAGATATGTATAGATTCAACATATCCGCACCAGGTGCGATATATTTACATGGAGATCCTGTGTTAGGATATGCGAAATCTGCCGTGATAGCAGGCTTAAATCTGCGTACAAAACTCTCATTCACATCGTTATTTCCAAGAATGGTTCCGACAGAATATATCGAACTAGATTTTTCCACTATCAATTTATACGTGAAGATACCTTTGAACATAGTTCTTAAAACCTTCTTTGATAAAAATGTTGTTCGTAAAACTGACATGGATGATATTCATGACGCAATAAAAGATTTTGTCGATTCGTTAGAAACATGTAACGGTACATATAAACCTGACAATCTTCACCATCGGTTAAGTTTACAAGCATTCTTCTTCTTGCTTGTCGCTATCGCCTACAAAGAAACGATTAATATAACAGCCACGTTTATCGTAAAATTATCGTCGGAATTGGCGATCGGAGAAAGTCTGGGCAGCTCACAAGCGTTCGCGGTATGTCTCGCGGCATGCTTCTGGCGTTGGTCAAATCTTCAAAAAGGAACGGTCATTTATGAATTCACACTTGAAAGTGAACAAAAAATACTATTTTACGGGGGGATATGCGATAACATGGTGTACAAATGTCAGAACGCTTTTAAAATTCTCGTATCCATACGTGGCTCGATAGTTGAAACCAAGAAATGGTTAATGCAAAAGTATACCGATTTCCCTAATATAAAGATCTTGCTTGTCTTTTCGAATGTTAGTCTGAATCATGTGCATATTCCCCCCCCTGTGAGGGGAGACAGAGGTTCATTCATGAAACATTTTCTGGATATTATAAATGTTATATCGAAAGAATCTATTCAATTGTTCGACATGATTCGGCCAAAAGAATTAGAACAAAATCAGGAATCTAATGTAGAGGAGTCACTTTCTATCGATCTACAGACTCACTATGAAAAATTATCGGTAAGTGTAATATCGCAAAATTTAATATTTTGTGCATGTGTTTATACGAGAGTATTTTTTGCAGCTTTCTTTACGTAGCTAATCGTTAAATTATCTCTTAACATGTGCTTTCCAGGATCTTATTAATATAAATCAAGGATTACTCACAGCATTAGATATGTCGGATGCAAATATAAACATTGTTTGCGCAATTGCCCAAAAGTATTCATTAAAGGCAAAAGCGACGGGCAGAGGTAGAGGTGGATACGTATTCATTTTATTACCACCAAATATCAAAGACAAAATCGTCCATCAACTCATACACGAATACGTACTGCACGATTTTCCTGCCATTTTAACCAATTTATGTGGAAAGTGGAATGGAGTGAGAGTTGAATAACATATTGAAGCAAACAATTTAATAGTGAAATTTAAATAGTATATTAATATAATTATATTATAACAAGTACACAAATGAAAAAAAATTATATAATAAATTTTATATGTTAATGAATTAATTTTAAAAACATTTGATAGTTTAATAATATTAATAACTTAAATAAAAAAATGTTCTCTGTTATTAGTAATAATAGTAACACTATGTAATAGATATATTTTTCAATGTGTATTTTGTTAGTCTTATATGCGTTTTTTATTACATTAAAAATTATGTTATGTTTATTATTATAATACATTATTAATCAATCTGCATTATTAATTTTAACTTAAAATTATTAATATCATGCGTATATATATTTTCTCTGATAAATAATCAGAGAAAATGCTTTTTAAATTTTATTCAGAACATAAATAACAAAACATTTAATATTAAATACAATTATGCTTCTGATAAATAAATCTAATACATGCAAGATATATCATATTGTGTATAAAAAGTCTTACTTTTCATTCGTATTCACGCTTAAGAATGTCATTTTACATTTTCATATTTTCTGGTCAATAATTGATCAGAAAAATGCTTTTTTATCTTAAAATAACTGATCTATATAATTTCTACATGTTGTAAATTGGATTTTTATGGATATTCTAACAACAATATTAAAACTGACAAACTGACTTCTGTTTATCAAGCATATGTATGTTAAAACGTTAAAAAATATGTATGTTAAAATGTAATTAACAATATTTAATATAACCATTATTGCTCATTAGACGAGCTAAATATGATATTAAAAATTTTAGCAATATTTATATTTATGTTTCCACTGTGTATGTCATTTTAATATTACCCGTCATATTGATATGAAAAAATTGTTATTTTCCGAATTGCTGTAGTTATATCTTTCGAAATGTACTGTCCGCAGTATCATACCTGCTAACGAAGATAACAGATTAATTTGACGAGTGTTCCAACGAATTATTAAATTATTATCTTCGATTTGTGCAAAAAGATTCTTATATAAGCATTATTTTAATATTAAATATACGTAAGTGTTTTAATGTTTTTTTATTACAATATTAATATCAAATTTGAATTTTTTAAGAAATTACAATAACTGAAAATGTATGATGCAAGTTTTTGTTAAAGGAGAAGTGAAGAAAATTTATATTATTATGCTAATGAGAAGAAAATAAGAGAAAGAATGTTGAATACTAAAAACTTGTTGAATCTTCTTCATTGATCATTAATAAGTTCATGATAAGTTGCATCTTTTTTCGGTCTTTTTTACAACATAATTTAATTTACGTCAGGAAAAAGTAGTAAATCCTTGCGAGCAACACTTTTGCTTTCACTTTTGATCGCTCGACATTACACCAGATATTGGATTACTCTTGTGAGAAATATGTATAGATTCAACATCTCCGCACCCGGTAAAGTGACATTATACGGAAATTCCATAATTGGATCTAATGAAGCTTGCGTGGCAGCCAGCCTGAACATGCGTACTAGACTCTCATTCGCTTCGCTACCTCCAAGAGTCGTCCCGGAGGAATGTATCCAACTAGATTTCTCCAGTATCTATTTACAGGTGAAGATACCATTAAATTCATTCCTCTTATTTTTCTTTTATGAGAATTTCAATCGTCGAAGTCCTGCATTTGAGATCTATAATCGAGTTAAAAGATATGTCCAAATGTTAAACGGATGCAGCGGCAGTTATATTTCAAGCGATCCTCGACACCGGTTAAGCTTAGAAGCATTTTTTTCTCTGCTCGTTGTTATCGCCTACGAACAAAATATTAATATAACATCCAGTTTTATCGTAAAAGTATCATCGGAACTGCCATTTGGCCAAGGTATGGGCAGTTCTTCATCGTTCGTCACATGTCTCGCGGCGTGCTTTTGGCGTTGGTCATTGCTGCAAAAAGGGATTGCAAGTTACGAATTCCTCGATGATGATCTTGTAAAGATCGCAGTTTACGCTGCCTATTGCGATATGCAGATATACAATTCCATATGCCCGATGGACACCTTCGTAATCGTAAACGGTGCAATAATAGTATACGAAAATAATAGAATGTTAGGAGTATACGAACATTTTCCGAACATAAAGATCTTGCTGGTCTTTTCAAATGTTAATCAGGACGATAAAAAGAATCTAATAAATTCAAAGAATTATTTGAATCTGAAACTTATTCTGGATAGCATCAGCAATTTATCTCGGACGTCTATTAATGTATTTCAAAAGATGAAAAATCTAACTGATACGGACAATGTTAATGTCAGCGAATTAGATACCTATCCACAGAGTTACTATGATGAATTAGCGGTAAGTATTGTGAATTTCAACATCCTGGATATTCAACTTCAGCGTTTTTTTTTACAAACTCTCACGCAAACTTACTTACTTAAAATTTAATTATTTCTTAATATATCTGTTTTGCAGGAACTTGTCCGTATGAATCAAGGATTATTAAAAGTATTAAATGAACCGCACGGAAATGTAGACCTTATTTGTGCAATTGCGCAGGAACATTTTTTACAGGGAAAAATGACGAATAGTACAGGTGGGTGCATTTTTATTTTGCTGCCACCAAACATGACAGCAGATCAGTTCGATAAAATCATCGATATATTCGGATATCATGATTTCCTTGCCGTGAGAACTACTTTATGTGGAAAATGGAGCGGGGTAGGAATTGAATAGCACATTCAAATCAACTTAATATGAGACTACAAATGAACTTGAAATCAACTTAATATGTGACTAAATAGGAATAATATATTACAATATAATGTAATACATATAGTACAATATAATTATAATAGAAATCCTAAAATACATACTACAGATTTTAAATTATAATTATAATATATATATAATTATAATATAATTATAAATTATATTATAAAATATATTATAAAAAGCACATACTTTGATAATATTAATAATCTATGCTAATAATCTTATATAAGATATATATAAGAATAAGATTATTAATACCATTCTTCGGTATTAGTATAGCGCTAGATATATCTTTCACTACATTATAAAAATTACTTATTATATAGGTTACTGTATAACGCCATTAAAGTTTGAATATTAATATAAAGAAATTAAACAACATGATGTTTCTTACATTTGCATAAATATCATCTGAGTATTTGCAATTGTATTTACAATTGTATTATTTTTTATTCAAAAAAATGTTGTTATTTTTTTGTATTAGATATTCTTCATAATAGTTTTATTGACTTCTGTATAAATTTTGACTAAAAACCTACCGAAAGCCTGTGAAATGTATATTCACAGAATAGTTTGGATGGTTTGTATACATATATTTTAGAAATTAATTCGAGTTAATTTAACTCTGAATATCATTTTTTATAAATTTATAAATATATTGTTTTTAATAATTGAAACAACGATCAAATTAAATATATTCTTATAATATGTTATTGTTTAAAAGAATACATTCGAGAATGTAATTTTGCATCTTTGTACCATTTTTTCTCCCGATCATGGGACATATTGTGGAATCATTCCGATAGAACGGATTTGAATAGAAAATCTTTAATTACTTTATAAATTTGTCATTTTTAGAAAAACCGAAATAATTTCAGTCATAATTTACTTTTCCCTCCCGAAAAGTTTTATAATATGTATTCAGGAATCGAATACATGAATATCTTTTATAATTATAATTATAATATGATTCCAAAAAGATTACTGAATAATCATTGTTACACAAGAATAATTTTTTGTTATAATATGTTTTCTTCGTGTAAGGTTTTTATTTCTTCAAAATGTAGTTAAGAATGTTCTAACAATGCAATAAAATAAATAAATTTTTAACTTCAGTATGTGAATTATGAAAAATTATATTTTATTTAACCACTACTCTTTAGCTGAATACTATAATATTATTAAAAGTAATTAAAATATTTACGTTTACTTATGTTTCAATTATATATCATCTTTATATATCATCTTTAGTTATGAATTTTTAGATATGTTTTTTGTAAGATCTTTGATATTTATTATGTAAACTTTATTATAAAGCTAATGTATGAAAATCATTTTCTATCAATTTACAAACTCTACTATACTTCTACGATACTACAGACTAAATTAAAAACTATCGATAAGTTTAATATTGCAAACTTCAATATTACTTTGTTCATTGTGTTTATACGAGGATGCTTTTCCAAATTCCCTTATGCAGTTATTTGATGGAAACGTAAGTTATTTCTTAAGTTATTTCTTTTGTGTGCTTTTCAGAATTTCTCATTAAGAAAAATCAAGGAGTATACAGCATTAGGCGTGTTGAATGAAATATGAATTATTTGTGCAATAACCCAAAAGTTTTTATTAAAAGGAAAGATAATAGGCGCAGGTAGAAATGGATTCGTATTCATTTTATTACCACTAAATATTGAAGACAAAACGATCAATCGACTTAAAAAAATATAAATCGCATGTTTTTCCTATCGTTTTAATCAGTTTATGTGATCAGTGGAGTGGTATGGTTGAATATCGACATAAATAGTTTAATATATGTGAAATTTAAACAATGTATTAACATAATAAACTATGTTCTAATATACTATGTTATAACTAGGTTATAATACGTATGCAAGTCGTAGAAAAAAATAGTTTTATATGATAAACTTTGTAGCATAGAAAACATTTTTCTTACTTAAAATATTTTAGTTATAAGTCATATTAGACATACTTTTAAGACAATTACGTTTTTGATAAAATAATCTAATACATATAATAGATATATCTTATTATGTTAAAAAGTCTTACCTTGCATATTTACGCTTAAGAACATTTCATTGCATGCTTCATGCTTTCTCATCAATATCTCTTCTCATCATAATCGATCAAAAAAATGCTTCTTTAAATAACTCTTCGCATAATTTATATGTATTATATATTCAAATTAGATTTTTATAGATATACTATACGATAGTGTTAAAATTGACAAATTTCTATTATGTATACATATGCGCATATACATTTATTATGTATACATATACATGTTAAAATTATAATAATAAATTAATTATTAATAAAATTTAATTTAATCATTACTGTTCGTTAGACAAACTGAATATGATATTAAAAATTATATTAATATTTACATTTATATACGTTTTCATTGTATGTGTCATTTTAAGATCATCCGTTATATTAATATTGTGAAAAAAATTGTTATTTTTCACGTTGCTATATTAATAACTTTGAAAATATATCGTCCGCATTATTACCTATGTTAACGAAGATAATAGATTAATTTGACGGTTGTCCTGTAACAAATTAAATTAGCTTGAATTTGTGAAAAAAATTCTTATGCTAATGTAAGTATAATTTATACATTATTTTGACATTATTAATTGTAGATAAGTGTATTAATATTTTTTTATTGTATTTGTTCTTTTATTACTTATTATTTATTTTTGTATTAATATTGGATTCTTCAAGAAATCACAATAATTGAAAATGTGTGATGCAGGCTTTTGTAAAAGACGTGAAGAAGATTAACGATTATGCTAACAACATTAAAAAAAGAGAGAATAAGAGAAAATAGAGAAGTTTAAATTTTCTTGAATCTTCCTTACGCATTGATTGTTAACAAATTGGTGACAAGTTTTTTCTGTAATCGGCCTTTTCTACAGTGTTGATTTGACGTACCAGGAAAAAATAATAAATCCTTACGAACAATACTTTCGCTTTGATATATATCTGATCACTCGACATTACGTCAATTTCTCAAACATTAGAATATCTTTTGTGAGAAATATGTACAGATTCAACATTTCCGCACCTGGGAAAGTGTCGTTATTCGGTGATTTCATAACGGAATCTAATGAAACTTGCGTGGTAGCCAGCCTGAATATACATACTAGACTCTCATTTGCTTCAATATTTCCAAGAATGATCCCGAAGGAATGTATCCAACTACATTTCTCCAGAATTCATTTAGAAATGAAGATACCATTAAATTCATTTCTCAGACATTTCTTTTATAAGAATTTCAATCGTCAATGTCCTGCATTTGAGATTTATGATCAAGTTAAAAGATACGTTCAAATGTTAAGCGGATGCAGCGGCAATTATGATCCACGGAATGTTCAACACCGGTTAAGCTTAGAAGCATTTTTTTGTCTGCTCGTTGTTATTGCCTACGAACAAAATATTAATATAACATCCAGTTTTATCGTAAAAATATCAACGGACCTGCCATTTGCCTGCGGTCTGGGCAGTTCTTTATCGTTCGCCGTGTGTCTCGCGGCGTGCTTTTTTCGTTGGTCACAGTTGCAGAAAGGGATTGTCCGTTACGAATTCCCTCATGATGAACTTGATTTGATCGGGATTTATGCTGGTTATTGTGATGAGAAGATATACAACAATACCATGTGCCCGATAGACACTTCCGTAATTGTAAACGGTGGAATAACAGTATATGAAAAGAATACAGTTTTGACGATGTATCAACATTTTCCGAGCATAAAAATCTTGCTGGTATATTCAAAGGTTAATAAAAACATCCGTAAAAATAAAGAAATAATTTTGGCGTATTGGCCGGGCCTGAAATCTATTGTGGATAGCATCAACAATTTATCTTGGAAGTCTATTGATGTATTTGAACAGATAAAGGATATAAAGGGTGTTAATACCAGCGAATTAGATACCATTCCAGAGAGTTACTACGATGAATTAGTGGTAAGTGTTATTTGATAAATTTAAACACTCTGCGTATTCGGTTGTTTTTCATAGATTCTCACACAAAGTAAATTAAATTTAAATTATTTATTTAAAACTTTAATTATTTCTTAATATATCTGTTTTACAGGAACTTATCCATATGAATCAAGGGTTATTAAAAATGTTAAATGTACCGCATGGAAATGTAGATATTATTTGTGCAATTGCGCAGGAACATTTTTTATACGGAAAAATGACGGATAGTAGAGGTGAATGTATTTTAATTTTGCTACCACCAAAGATCGCAGGGGATCAATTTAAAATCAATAAATTCGTTAATCAATTAGTCGAGCGTGATTTCCATGTCGTGACAACTACTTTGTGTGGAAAATGGGACGGAGTAGGAGTAGTTGAATAATACATTGAAAACTTAATATAAGTGACTAAATATGCATAATATATTATAATATATATATATATATATATATATATATATATAATTATAATTATAATATGTAGTTATAATATAATTATAATATAATATATATATAATATATAACTACACACATATATATCAAAAATATATATGAAGATAGTGCTATATTATTAACATCATTAACAGAAAAGTATTAATAATAATTTTATATATATCTTATTAATGTTATCAAAATATGTTTTTTATTTTATATTATATTACTTTATACATAATATTATAATTTATAATCGATAGTACGTATTTTTTAAAACTACTTCTTTTATCAAAGTTGGATATTTATAATTATATATTATAATTATAATATAATTATAATATTAATAAATTATAATATTAATAAATTAATTATAATATATAATATATAATTAGAAATATCCAACTTTGATGAAAGAAGTTAAGTTTTTAAAAAATACGTACTGTCGATTATAAATTATAATATTATGAAATATAGTTATAAATTATATTATAAAATATAACATAAAATAATTATATAAACTAAAAAACATATTTTGATAATATTAATAAGATGTATATAAAATTATTATTAATACTATTCTCTGTTAATGACGTTAATAATATAGCACTATCTTTGTATATATTTTTGATTATATGTAAAAATTATTTATTATGTTATGTTTATTATATGATAATAAATTATGTGATAATAAATAAATTAATATAAATTTAATAACGCCACTAATGTATCAATATTAATATAAAAAAAAATGAAGCAACATCATGTTTTTTAAATTTATATAAATATCATAGAAATATTTGTCAATTGGACTATTTTTACTCGTAAAAATATTGTTATCTTTTTTATTAGATATTGTGCATAATAGTTATATTAACTTCTATATAATATATTTTGTCTAAAAACCACCCGAATGCCTGTGAAATGTGTGTTCACGAAAATAGATGATTTACGTATATTTGTTTTAGAAATGACTTATCAAACTATTTAATATTGAATATAATTCTTATAAATGTATTGCGTTTAATAATTTAAATAATGATAATATTAAATATATTGTGATAACGTGTTTATTTTATGTTAAAACTGGTATATTCGAGAATATAAATATGCCATTTTGTATTACTTCTTCCCCGACTTTTCACCGGACGTATCATAGAACTGTTCGTATTGAATTTCTATCGCAATTATTTTATTATTTCTTAAATTTCTATTGTTCTTTCTGGGAAAAGTGTAAATAATTTTGGTCATATTTTTCCGAAACAGTTCTATAATAAATGTATTAAAAAATTGGATATAAGAATAATATTATTTTTTTATAGTATGCTTTTGTGTAAGGTTTTTACTTTTTCAAAATGTAGTTAAAAATGTGCAAAATAAATAAATTTTTAACTTTAGTATGAATTTGAATTATGAAAAATTATATTTCATTTAACCATTATTCTTTAGACAAGCTGAATACTACAACATTATTAGTTAAAAAATAATGAAGATATTTTTTACGTTTACTTATGTTTCGATTATATCATCATTTTCAGTTATATAGTCTATCCTATTTGTATTGCAATGAAAAAATTGTTATTTTTATTTTTTGCGTAATTATCGTTCTGGAAAAATTTATCCGTAATACTTTATGTGCTAAAGAAAATGATAGATCAAATTGACGAATTATATAACTTATCTATTAGTTATCTAGTCTTAGTTGATTTAATTAGCTTCTCATGAAAATTTTAATCATTTCCAATATATGTTTAAAGAATTCTACTATTATAAATAATATCTCATTTTTAGATTAATATAATAAAAATATAAAATTAAAAACAGGTATATAGATATACATCTTAACGTCTTCTTACTAAAGCATTAATAAATATTCTGAGATAAACAATTTTAATAATCAAAAATATGAATTTCAAACTTGTTCTACAAGTAAAAGAAAAAAGTGAAAAAAATTTGTATTATCTTCTAATCAATTCCAATTAAAACGAGAAACCAATTGTTGAGTTTTACGAAATTTTTAATGCACAATTGAAGGAAATAAGTAGAGGATCGGCAATAAATTAGATAATTATCTTTATTTTAACGTTATTATTTATGGTTATTGTTCATTTAGATAGAAGAAAGTGATAATTATTATAAATATTACGAGAAAGATTCTTGTGCTAGTATACATCTACAAAAGCCTAAATAATATTCTATTCTAATTTTTTACATTTTATGTCTCAATATTATCTCTCGATTTTTCGAATATTAGAAGATTTTTTTATCGGAAGAGACATACTTAAGTTCAGGATATCTGCACCGGGGATGGTATCCTTAAGTGGAGAATTATAGGATATAAAACTTGCATAGTGATTATCCTAGATAAGCATACTCTGTATTTTATCTCGTTACTTCCATATATTTCAACTAATTTTATAGCATCAATTTTCATCAATATTAAATTAAACATAGGGAGAATATTTGTAGCGGCATATTTTAAGTATTTTTCTTAGTCACATTTGTGTGTGCTTAATGATAATTTGTTTGTTGTAATTATAGATTTTGTTAATTTATTAACGAAATACACCGGCATATACGATCTCGACAAACACTATTTGAATGATATATTAATATAACATAAGAAAAATTTTATATGTTACATTTTATAGATTAATGAATTAATTAGTGCACTTGATAAATTAATATTATTAATAAGATCAAAATAAATATTTTCTGATTAAGAATGATAATAATAATGATAATAATATGATGAATATGTTTTCAGATTTGTTTTTTGTAAGACCTTAGATATTTATTATATGATTTTTATTATGTTACTATATATACTTTATTATATTACTATACAAATTCTTTTTAATTTAAATATTAGTAATTCTGCGTATGTATTCACAGAAAAAAAATTTAAACTATAAGATAATTAAATCTTATATATTTAACATGTAATAAATACGATTTGCGGACAAAGTGTTAATAAAAAAATAACTTCATTACAATAAGGATATAATGTATAAAAATAAAATTTTACATAATATATTCTATAATGGATTGTTTATAAAAATAGATTATAAAAATAGAAATTTTTACATTAATATTAACAAAATAAAATGTCTTTTAAAATTAATAATTATTGATATTAATTATTGTTTGATACAAAATTATTGGCTAAAAATAATTTTCTATTTTCTGCTTTGCAAGGACTCATTGAATGCGCAAAACTACTCACTCGCAGGAAAGCTCGCCGGTAAAGATAGTGAATTCATGTTCCATTTGTTGCTATTGAATGTGGAGAACGAGGACATCTCTGGGATTATGGAAGAATTCAAGAAGCATAGTTTTTCCACTATGGTAACTGATTCATGATGCAATTGAGTAAACTTTAAATAAAATAACGTAATTAATAAGTTAAAAAAAGCGCTTACATATGCATTAAATGACAGTTTAAATCTATTCAAATAAATCTAAAAATATATGTAATTGATTATTTATGTATAAGATGATAATTTTTGTATAAGCTTACTAGAGTAATATTAATGATAATAAAAATTTATATTCGACGGATTTCAATTTGGAAAATATACATAATCTATAAATTATAACAAAAATATCTAATTAAATCATCGTCCTTTCTATTTATTTCTAATTCTATTAATGTTAGAAATTCTATTTATATTGTTAGCCCTATTTATCTTTGTGTGTGTGTGTGTGTGTGTGTGTGTGTATGTAAGCGCGCGCGCGTGTGAGCCGGTTTAATGTTTACTAAATTAATATTACAATAAAAAAATTGTTATTTTCTTTATATTGCTTTATATTGCTTTATATTCTTTATAACAATCACTATATTATAATATATGATGTGAGAAATTCATCATACATGACGTGTAATAAAAACGTTACGATTAATCAATCGGATTTTTAGATAATATATCACTCATAAATTAAAGATAAATTCAATATCTTCTCTGCAAAACATTGATGTAAAACAGATTAAAACAGTCTCAATAATAAAACTTGTTTAACCAGGGCATATGCATTAAGAGAAGTAAAGATAATTCAACACTAGCAAAATAGAAAAATCGAAGAAGCCGATTGCATATATTGAATTGAAACCTTTACAAATATTCTTTACGTATTGACAAAAAATTAATAATAAATTGGAAACAAGTTATCTTCGTCGCAATAATCATTTATTTACAGCGTTGTTTATTAATTCAAAAGAACAATTAATGTTACACGAGAGTTATTTTCATCGATGTATAGGTTCGAGAATCATGAGGTAACTTCTGATTTTCTTTTCTTCGCATTATTACCTCCAAGAGTTGTTCCGGCAGAATATATCAAACTCGATTTCTCCAATTTCCATTTATATGTGAAAATACCTCTGGACATAATTCTTAAAACCTTCTTTAATAATAATATCATCCATAAAGCTGGATGACATGTATGACGCAATAAAATATTTTCTCAGCTTTTAAACAACACATATGAATCTAACCTTTATCACTAGTTAAATTTACAAGCATCTTCTACTTGATCATTTTTATCGCTTACGGAGAAACGATTAATATAGCCACTTTTACCAAAAAATATTTTCGGAATTAATAAACGAAGAAAATCTGGACAGCTCAGAATCGTTCACAGTATGTCTCGCGGCGTATTTTTGGCATTGTTGACGAAAATTGCACCTTCAAAAAGGAACATTCACTCATTCATTTATGAATTCACATTTCAAGATAACCAAAAGATAAGATGTTTTATGGAGACGAATGCCAGTAAGATATTAAAACTCTCATAGCTGCTCGATAACTAAAGTCAATAAATCATTACCCGTGTAAAATATTCCGATGTCCCGAGTATGAAAATCTTGCTGGTCTTTTCGAATATTATTCTGAAAAATGTGCATATTCTTCCTGTGAATATAGATATAGATTCATTAAAAAAATATTATCTATTGTAAATGTTATATTAGAAAAAATTTATTAAATTCTTCGACATTATTTGGCCAAATAAATTAGAACTAAATCAGGCTAATGTACGGAAATCATTTTCTATCGATCTACAAATTCACCAAATTAAAAATTATCAGTAAGTTTAATACCGCAAACTTTAATATTACTTTGTTCGTGTGTTTATACAAGAAGGCAGATTCCCTTAAGTTATTTGTTGAAAATTTAAATTATTCCGAAACATATGCTTTCCAGGAAATCATTAAGTATTATTCATAGCATTAGGTGTGTCAAATGAAGATAAATTATTTATGCAATTGCCCGAAAGTTTTCATTAAAGGGAAAGATGACAGGCACAGGTACACGTGGATACGTATTCATTTTATTATTTGAAAGACGAATTTTAAAGACAAAACTATTAAAACAACTTTTAAAAGAATTATAAATTATTAATAAGAATTATTAATAAGAATTGCATAATTTTCCTACAGTTTTAACCAATTTGTATGGACAGTAGAGTAAGTGAGAATTGACTAGCATTTTGAAGTAAACAATTTGATACATTCGAAATTTAAACAATATATTAATATAACTATATGATAGTATGCAAAGTGTGGGAAAGAAGAATTATATGATTTATATTATTTATATGATATTATATTATATTATATTATTTATATGATAAATTTCTTTATCATAGAAAATGCTTTCCTTGTTTTATTAAGAATTTAAATTATAAAGCTTTTAAAATAATTGTGTTTTTGATAAATAAATCTAATACACGTAATAGATATATCGTATTGTGCTAACAAGTCTCACTTTTCATTCCTATTCACGCTTAAGAACATTCTATTGCGTTTTTATATTTTTTGATTAATAAACGATCAGAAAAATGTTTCTTTATATTAAAATGATTGATAATTTTACTACAGATAATATCTATGGATAATTTTTATATTTAAATTGATTTTTTGTAGATATACTGACAATAATATTAAAATTGACAAACTTTTGTTACGTGCACGTATATATGTGTTAAAATTAAAATTAACAGATTAAAATTTAATTTTATCTACTCATTACTGCTCATTAGACGAGCTATATACAATATTAAAAATTTAATATTAATATTTAAATTTGTACATGTTTTCATTGTGTATGTCATTTTAAGATCATAAGGTCATATTGACCTTGTAAAAAAATTGTTATTTTTCACATTGCTATAATAATATCTTTGAAAATGTACTGTCCGCAGTATCACGGACGTTATCAGAGACGACAGATTAATTTGACTGTTTTTACGAACTATAGTCATTCTGTAACAAATTAAATTATCTTAAATTTGAAAAAAGTTCCTTGTTCTTATGTAAGTATCATTTATATATCATTTTAATTAAATATGAATCAGTGTTTGAATATTTTTTTATTATTACATTTCTTTCCTTACTTATTGTTTATTTTTGTATTAATATTAAATTTGGATTTTTTTATGAAATTACAGTAATTAAAAATGTATGATGCAGGTTTTTGTAAAAGAAGTGAAGAAGATTAATGTTATTTTGCTAATGACAAGAAATAAGAGAAAATCAAGAAGTGTTGAAATCTTTTTGAATCTTCTTTATTAATCATTAACAAGTTGATGATAAGTTATCTTTTCAACGCCATTAATTTGACATATCACTTCATAAAAATAATAAATCCTTACGAGCAATATTTCGTTTTGATATACATCAAATCACTCGACATTACGCCAGTTCCTCAGATATTAGAATATTTTTTGTAATAAATATGTACAATTTCAACATTTCCGCGCCTGGTAAAGTGTTATTATATGGGAATTCCCAAGAAAGACCTAAGCAAGCTTGGGTGATAGCCAGCCTGAATATACGTACTAAACTCTCATTCGCTTTGCTACCTCCAAGAGTCGTCCCGAACGAATATATCCAACTAGATTTTTCCAGTATTAATTTACAGATGAAAATACCACTACGTACATTCCTCATATATTTCTTTTATAAAAATTTCAATCGTCAATGTCCTGCACGTCAGATTTATAAGCAAGTTAAGAAGTACGTCCAAATGTTAAGCGGATGCAGAGGCAATTATGATCCAAGCGATCTTCGACATCGGTTAAGCTTAGAAATGTTTTTCTTCCTGCTCGTTCTTATTGCCTATGATCAAGGTATTAATATAACATCCACTTTTATCGTAAAAGTATCAACGAAACTGCCAATGGGCTACGGTCTGGGCAGTTCTTCATCGTACGCCGTATGTCTCGCGGCGTGCTTTTGGCGTTGGTCATTGCTGCAAAAAGGGATTGCTCGTTTCGAATTCCTTAATAAAGAGCTTGCAAAAATCGCGGTTTATGCTGGTTGTTGTGATGAGAAGATATATAATACCTTGCGCCCGGTAGACACTTCCGTAATTGTAAGGGGTGGTATAACAGTATTTGCAAACAATGCAACGTTGAAGACGTATCGGCGTTTTACGAGCATAAAGATCTTGCTGGTCTATTCAAAAATTAATAAGAACATCAATAAAGATTGGATAATAAATTTCAACAAAATCCAAAATCTAAATCTGAAATCTGAATCTATTATGAATAGCATCGACAATTTATCTCGGACGTCTATTGATGTATTTGAAAAGATGAAGAATGATACGGACAATGTTAGTGTCGAATTAGATACCTTTCCAGAGAGTTACTATGATGAATTAGCGGTAAGTGTTATCCGATGAATTTCAACACTCTGCGTATTCAGCTGTTTTTTATAGACTCATAGATTCATAAAGTTCTTTACTTAAAACATTAATTATTTCTTAATATATCTGTTTTGCAGGAACTAGTCCGTATGAATCAAGGATTATTAAAGGTATTAAATGTACCGCATGGAAATGTAGATCTTGTTTGTGCAATTGCGCAGGAACATTTTTACATGGGAGTATGACGAATAGTACAGGTAAAGGCATTTTTATTTTGCTACCGCCTAACATCGCAGTGGATCAGCTCGATAAATAAAACCTAATTAGTCGGACGGATTCGTGTTGTGAAACTACTTAGTGTGGAAATAGGGACGGAGGTAGGAGTTAGTAATAATAACATTAGTAAAACTTAAATTAATAAATAGTACTAAATAAATATGCATAAATATTATTTGTATATATAATATATAATATATATATATATATATATATATTTATTTATATATAATTATATATATATATAATTATAATTATAATATGTAGTTATAATATAATTATAATATATAATTGTAAAAATCCAATTTCGAAAGAAGTAGTTTTGAAAAATATTGTCGATTATAAATTATAATTATGAAATATAGTTATAAATTGTATTAAAATATAACATAAAGTAATATAAAATAAAAACATATTTTGATGTATTTTGAACAGTAGTAAGACTATATATAAGACTATTATTAATACTATTCTCTGTTAATGATGTTAATAATATAGCACTATCTTTTATATATTGTATTGTAAATATCTTTCGTTATATTGTAAAAATTATTTATTATGTTATGTTTATTATATACGTGACTAATAAATTTAATAACGCCACTAATGTATCAATATTAATATAAAAAAAGGAAGCAACATGATGTTTTTTAAATTTATATAAATATCATAGAAATATTTGTTAATTGGCCTATTTTTATTCGTAAAAATGTTGTTATCTGTTTTTATTAAATATTGATCATAATAGTTGTATTGATTTCTATATAATATATTTTATATTATCTAAGAAACTCTCGAATGCCTGTGAAATGTTTTATATTTACGAAAATAAATGATTTATATACATATATTTTAGAAATGACTTATCGAAGTATTTAACTCTGAATATAATTTTTTATAAATATATAATAATTTTTTATAAATGTATATATTGCGTTTAATAATAATTATAATAATTAAGATAATGATAAGATTAAGTATATGTATGTATTTACTTTATGTTAAAATTGATACATTCGAGAATATAAGTTTGAATTTTTGTAATACTTCTTCTCCAACTTTTCACCAGACGTATCATAGAACTGTTTCGAATGAATTCCTATCGAAATTATTTAATTATTTCCTAAATTTCTATTGTCTCTTCTACAAAAAGTGAAATAATTCTGGTCATATTTCTCCGAAACAGTTCTATAATAAATGTATTAAAAAAATTGGATACAAGAATAATATTCTTTTTTTATAATATACTTTTGTCGTGTACGGTTTTTACTTCTTCAAAATGTAGTTAAGAATGTTCTGACAATGCAAAATAAATTTTTAACTTCAGTATGTATTTGAATTATAAAAAATTTTATTTAACCATTATTCTTTAGACAAGCTAAATACTACAACATTATTAGATAAAAATAATGAAGACGTTTACTTATGTTTCGATGTTATATCATCATTTTCAATTATGTAGTCTATCATATTAGTATTGCAATAAAAAAAAATTGTTATTTTCCGAGTTACTGTAATTATTGTTCTGAAAAAATTTGTCCATAGTGCTTTATGTACTGAAGAAAATAATAATTCAAATTAACGAATTATATCTTAATCGAACTTAGTCTTAGTTGAGTTAGCCTTTCAAGAAAATTTTAATTATTTCCAATATATTTTTAAAAAATCTTGGTATTATAAGTAGTATCCCATTCTCAGGTAGTTTAATAAAATATATTTACAAAATTAAATACAAGTAGATAGTACATATATGTGGGTTAAAATTATAATTAAACAAAATTTAATTTAACCGTTACTGCTCATTAGACGAAGTATATACAATATTAAAAATTATATTAATAGAATTATATTTAAATTTGTATATGTTTTCAATATGTATGTCATTTTAAGATCATAAGTCATATTGATGTTATGAAAAAATTATTATTTTTCACGTTGCTATAATAATATCGTATGGAAACGTACTGTCCGCAGTATTACGTACGTTAACAGAGATAGATTAATTTGACTGTTCTTATGAACTGTAATTATTCTGTAATAAATCAAATTATTAATTTGATTAAAATTATTGAAAATTATTAACTTTTATTATTATTTATTATTTAAATTGGAAAAAGTTCATTGTTCTTATGTAAGTACTATTTATATATCATTTGGATTAAATATAAATCAGCGTTTTAATATTTTTTTATTATTATATTTTTTTCTTATTTATTGTTCATTTTTGTATTAATATTAAATTTTGATTTTTTACGAAATTACAATAATTAAAAATGTGTGATGCAGGCTTTGGTAAAAGAAGTGAAGAAGATTAATTTGCTAGAACTTGACAAGAAAATAAGAGGAGGTCAAGAAGTGTTGAATGCTAAATCTTATTGAAACTTTTTTATTGGTCATTTATAAGTTGGTGATAAGTTATTTTTTTCGGCAATCGGACTTTTCTACGGCATTGATTTTCATATCACAAAAAAAATAATAAATCCTTACGAGCAATATTTTCATTTTGATATACATCCGATCGTTCGCCAGTTTCTCAGATATTAGAATATATTTTTTGTGGAAAATATGTATAGATTCAACATTTCCGCACCTGGTAAAGTGTCGTTATACGGGGATTCCATAAAGGGATCTAACAAAACTTCGGTGGCAGCCAGCCTGAATATGCGTACTAAACTCTTATTCGCTTCGATATTTCCAAGAATGATCCCGAAGGAATGTATCCAACTAGATTTCTCCAGTATTAATTTACACATGAAAATACCATTAGATTCATTCCTCAGATATTTCTTTTATGAGAATTTCAATCGTCAACGTCCGGTATTTGAAATTTATAATCAAGTTAAAAGGTACGTCCAACTGTTAAGCGGATGCAGCGGCAATTATGATCCAAGCGATCTTCGACACCGGTTAAGCTTAGAAGCATTTTTCTCCCTGCTCATTGTTATCGCTTACGAACAAAATATTAATATAACATCCAGTTTTATCGTAAATGTATCAACGGAACTGTCATTTGGCCACGGTCTTGCCAGTTCTTCATCATTCGTCGTATGTCTCGCGGCGTGCTTTTGGCGTTGGTCATTGCTGCAGAATGGGATTGCTCGTTTTGAATTCCTTCGTAATGATCTTGAAAAAATTGCGATTTATGCTGGTTATTGTGATGAGAAGATATACAACAATACCATGTGCCCGATAGACATTTTTGTAATCGTAAAAGGTGGAATAATAGTATACGAAAACAATGCAGTGTTGAAGATGTATCAACGTTTTCCGAGCATAAAGATCTTGCTGGTCTATTCAAAAGTTAATAAGAACATCGATATAAATAGGAAAGGTTTGAAGGTTTGTCGGAAATCTATTTTGGATAGCATCAGCAATTTATCTCGGACATCTATTAATGTATTCGAAAAGATAAAGAATAGTCTAACTAATAAGGGTAATATTAGTGCCAGCGAATTAGATAATTTTCCAATGACTTACTACGATGAATTAGCGGTAAGTGTTATCTGATGAATTTCAACACTCTGCATATTCAGTTTTTGCTGTTTTTTTATAGATTCTTACAGTTATTTACTTAAAATTTTAATTATTTCTTAATATATCTGTTTTGCAGGAACTTGTCCGTATGAATCAAGAATTATTAAAAATATTAAACGTACCGTATGGAAATGTAGACTTTATTTGTGCAATTGCGCAGGAATATTTTTTACAGGGAAAGATGACGAATAGTATAGGTGAATACATTTTAATTTTATTACCACCAGACATCGCAGTGGATCATCTCGATAAACTCATTAACGTACTAAGTGATCATGGTTTCCTTGCCGTGACAACTACTTTGTGTGGAAAATGGGCTGGTGTAGGAATTGAATAGTACATTTAAGTTAACTTGATATAATGTATTATAATATAATTTATAATTATAACAACAAGCAAGTCGATGAAAAAGTAGTTTTAAAAAATACATGCTGTGGATTATAAATTATAATTATAAAATTTAATTGTATTAGATTAAATTATATTAGACAATGTAATATAAAATAATATAAAATGATATAAAAATAACATATAATTTGATAACATTAATAAGATGTATATAAGATTATTATGAATACCATTCTTTGGTATTAGTAATATTGGGCTATATATATCTTTCATTATGTTGTAAAAATTATTTACTGTTTATTATATAACTCTAAATTTTAGTATCAAGAACGCTATTAATCTATCTTTATATTAATATAAAAAATGAAACAACATGATCTTTTCTAAATTTATAAATAGGAATATTTGCCAATTTTTATTTCATTTTTTATTCGTAGAGATGTTGTTATCTTTTTTTGTATTAGATTGTTCTTCTGTAATAGTTTTATTAACTTTTGCATAATAAGTTTTGACTAAAAACCTATCAAACGTTTGTAAAATATATATTCACAAAAATAGGTTGGATGGTTTGCATACATATGTTTTAGAAATTAATTTCCAAGATATTCAACTTTGAACATATTTTCTAAATATATGTGTATATTGTCTTTAATAATTATTAATTTAATATATAATATAATTATTGAAGGTTAAATTCACTATAATAATGTATTACTGTTTAAAATGTCATTCGAGAATGTAATATTCCATCTTTGTATTATATCTTCTTTGGATCAAATGAACGTATTATGGAACTATCCAGAATGGATTCCAATTGAAATTGTTTAACTACTTGCTAAATTTTCATAGTCATTTTTAGAAAAACGAAATAGTTCCAATAATCTAATTTTTCCCGAACAGTTTTATAATATGTACTCAAGAATCGAATAAAAGAATATTCTTTTGTTACAAATTCCTCATGTAAAATTTGTACTTCTTTAAAATGTATTTAAAAATATTGTAATAATGCTAAAAATCAATAAATTTTTGACTTCAGTATGTATTTAAAATATAACAAATTATATTTAATTTAACCTCTTTAGACAAACCGAATACTACAACATTATTAGTTAAAAATTACAAAATTATTTACTTATATTTTGATTGTATGTCATGTTGGTTTATATTGATATTACAAAAAAATTGTTATTTTTCGCGTTAGTATAAATAATAATTTCGAAAAAGTTTTGTTCGTAATATTTTGTGCTAAAAAAGATGATAGGCCAAATTGACGATTATTGTATAACTTAACTATTTTCAATTTTAGTTAAATTATTTACTTAATTTTTCAAGATTTAATTATTTATAATATATTTTTAAAAAATTTTGTTGTTATGTCACAGTCATGTTATCAGATAATTTACTTAGAAATATTTATAAAATTAAATACAAATATACTATCTGATTTTTTCTTATTAAACTATTAGTAGGCATATAAATTCTGAGATAAACAATTTTAATGATCAAAAATATGTTTCAGGCTTGTGTTACAAGTGAAGAAAAGAGAATTCGAGTTATTTTTGCTAACGACTCTTGACGAGGAATTGAGTTTTACGAGATCTTCTTTATGCATAAACAGAAGATTGGCGACAAATTAGATTATCTTTGTCAAATTTGATTATCTCACCCATTAGTTTTAATGATAGTTCATTTAGATAAAAAAGAATAACAATTATTATCAATATTACAAGCGAGATTCTTGTGTTGATATACATCTGCGAGAGTCACTATTTTTGATTTTATACGATTTATCTCTTGATATTACGATTTTTTGGACATTAGAAGATTTTTTTCGCAAAAGACATGCTCAAGTTTAAGATATCTGCACCGGGAATGGTATTCTTAAGGAGAACGCATTGTAGGATACAAGAAAACTTGCATAGTGACCATCCCAGATAAGCATATGACTCTGTATTTCATCTCGTTACCTCCAAATACTTTGACTAATTATATAATATTAATTTTCACCAATATTAAATTAAACATAGAGAGGATATCTTTAATTGCATTTTCCTTATTCACATTTGTGCTTAATGATAATTTGTCGTAATTATAGATTTTTGTCGTAATTATAGATTTTGTTAATTTATTAACAAAATAGACCAGCATATACGATCTCGACAATCAATATTTAAACAATTTTTTTTGTCGTAATATTAATTTAATAAGCACTAAACTGGCTCATCTACGTGCACACGCGCTTACACACACACACACACACACACACACACACACACACACACACACACACACACACACACACACACACACAAAGATAAATAAAATTAACAATATAAATAGAATTTCTATATATTAATATCTAAATTGAAAGTAATGTGATATATAGTAATATAATAAAGATCATATAATAAATATCTAAAATCTTACAAAAGCAAATCTAAAAACATATTTGTCATGTTATTATCAATCGTATTGCGTTTTTATACTTTTGATCAATAAACGCTCAGAAAAATGCTTCTTTATTTTAAAATGATATAATAATTATTTTAATCTTTAAATAATTTTTGTCTATTTAAATTGAATTTTTATAAATATGGTATATATACTGACATTAATATTAAAAATTGACAAACTTCTGTTATGTGTTATGTGTGTGTTAAAATTATAATTAACAAAATTTAATTTAATCATTACTCATTAGACGAGCTATATATACAATATTAAAAATTATATTAATATTTAAATTTATATATGTTTTCATTGTGTATGTCATTTTAAGATCATAAGTCATATTGATGTTATGAAGAAATTATTTTTCACATTGTTATAATAATATCGTTGGAAACGTACTGTCCGCAGTGTCACGTACATTAACAAAGACGATAGATTAATTTGACTGTTCTTATGAACTGTAGTTATTCTGTAACAAATCAAATTATTAATTTGATTAAAATTATTGAAAATTATTAACCTGAATTTGAAAAAAGTTTTTTGTTTTTATGTAAGTATCATTTATATATCATTTGAATTAAATATAAATCAGCATTTTAATATTTTTTTATCATTATATTTCTTTTCTTACTTATTGTTCATTTTTGTATTAATATTATGTATTAATATTTTGTATTAATATTAAATTTGGATTTTTTTATAAAATTACAATAATTAAAGATGTGTGATGCAGGCTTTGGTAAAAGAAGTAAAGAAGATTAATGTTATTTTGCTAATGACAAGGAAATAAGAGAAAATCAAGAAGTGTTAAATCTTGAATCTTTTTTATCAATCATTAACAAGTTGGTGCTAAGTTATCTTTTCTGCGGGCTTTCAATCGGGCTTTTCTACGATATTAATTTCCGTATCACGAAGAAATAATAATAAGTCCTTACGAGCAATATTTTTGTTTTAATATACATCCGATCGCTCGACATTACGCCCATTTCTCAGATATTAGAATATTTTTTGTGGAAAATATGTACAGATTCAACATTTCCGCACCTGGTAAAGTCTCGTTATACGGGGATTCCATAAAAGGATCTAACAAAACTTCGGTGGCAGCCAACCTGAATGTCCGAACTAGACTCTCATTCGCTTTGCTACCTCCAAGAGTCGTCCCGAACGAATATATCCAACTAGAGTTTTCCAATATTAATTTACAGATGAAAATACCACTACGTACATTCCTCATATATTTCTTTTATAAAAATTTCAATCGTCAATATTCTGCACGTCAGATTTATAAGCAAGTTAAGAAGTACGTCCAAATGTTAAGCGGATGCAGAGGCAATTATGATCCAAGCGATCTTCGACATCGGTTAAGCTTAGAAGCATTTTTCTCTCTGCTCGTTGTTATCGCCTACGAACAAAATATTAATATAACATCCACTTTTATCGTAAAAGTATCAACGGGACTGCCATTTGGCCACGGTCTGGGCAGTTCTTCATCGTTCGTCGTATGTCTCGCGGCGTGCTTTTGGCGTTGGTCATTGCTGCAAAAAGGGATTGCAAGTCACGAATTTTCTCCTCATGATCTTATAAACATCGCGATTTATGCTGGTTATTGTGATGAGAAGATATACAACAATACCATGTGCCCGATAGACACTTTCGTAATTGTAAAAGGTGGAATAACAGTATATGAGAACAATGCAGTGTTGAAGACGTATCTACATTTTCCGAGCATAAAAATCTTGTTGGTCTATTCAAAGGTTAATAAAAATATCGATAAGAACATTGATAAAAATAAGAAAAATTTGGAAGAGTTACAAATCTATCTGAAATTTGTTCTGGATAGCATCAACAATTTATCTCAGACATCTATTAATATATTCGAAAAGATGGAGAAGGATACGGACAATATTAGTTGCGAATTAGATACCTTTCCAGAGAGTTACTACGATGAATTAGCAGTAAGTGTTATCCGAATGAATTTCAACACTCTCTGCGTATTCAGCTATTTTTTATAGATTCTCACATATATTCTCAAAATTATTTACTTAAAACTTTAATTATTTCTTAATATATCTGTTTTAATATATCTGTTTTACAGGAACTTATCCATATAAATCAAGGATTATTAAAAGTAATAAATATACCGCATGGAAATGTAGACCTTATTTGTGCAATTGCGCGGAAACATTTTTTACAAGGGAAAATGACGAATAGTAGAGGTGATTACATTTTAATTTTGCTACCACCAGACATCGCAGAGGATCATCTCGATAAACTTATCGACGTATTCGAAGATCATGATTTTCCTGTCATAGCAACTACTTTATGTGGAAAATGGGCTGGAGTAGGAATTGAATAGTACATTTAATTAACTTAATATATTGTATATATAATATAATATAATATGTTATAATATATATGATGTAATTTATAATTATAACAAAAACCAAGTTGATGAAAAAAGTATTTTAAAAAATACATACCGTAGATTATAAATTATAATTATAAAATTTAATTATAAATTATATTATATATAATACAAAATAATAATATAAAAATAACATATAATTTAATAACATATATAATATAATATAATAATTTAATAAGATATATAAGTTTATTATGAATGCCATTCTTTGGTATTAGTAATATTGCGCTATATATATCTTTCATTATGTTATAAAAATTATTTACTATTTATTATATATACTTACTATTTATTATATATACTTACTATTTATTTATAAAAATTATTATATTAATTATTATATTAATATATATGTTCTAAATTATATTTATTATATATACTCTATATTTAAGTATTAGGAACGCCACTAATTTATCAATATTAATATAAAAAATAAAGCAACATAATTTTTTGTAAATTTATATAAATATCATAGGAATATTTGCCAATTTTTTTATTCCATTTTTTATTCGTAAACATGTTGTTATTTTTTTTTATATTAGATATACTTTAGGGTAATGATTTTATTAATTTTTGCATAATAAGTTTTGACTAAAAACCTATCGAACGCCTGTGAAATATATATTCATAAAAATGGGTTGGATGGTTTGCATACATATGTTTTAGAAATTTCCAAGATATTCAACTTTGAATATAATTTTTTCTAAGTATATGAGTATATTGTCTTTAATGATTAAATTGATAAGGTTAGATATACTGTAATAACGTGTTATTGTTTAAAAAAATCACATTCGAGAATGTAATTTTGCATCTTTGTTCCACGTCTTCTCTGGATCAAAGAACGAAATGTGGAACTGTTCGGAATGGATTCGAATTAAAATTGTTTAATTATTTCCTAAATTTTTATTATTTTCTTTAAAAAAACGAAATGATTTCAATCATATTCTAATTTTTTTCCGAACAGTTTTATAATATACATTCAAGAATCGAATATAAAAATATTCTTTTGTTCTTAAATTCTTCGTGTAAAGTTTGTACTTCTTTAAAATATATCTAAGAATAATAATAATGCTAAACTCAATAAATTTTTAACTTCAGTATGTATTTGAAATATAACAAATTGTATTTAATTTAATTTCTTTAGACAAATCGAATGCTACAACATTATTAGTTAAAAATTATAAAAACATTTATTTATATTTTGATTGTATGTCACTTTGGTTTATATTGATGTTTCAAAAAATTGTTATTTTACGCGTTAGTAATTATTGTTTCGGAAAAGTTCTGTCCGTACATTCTGTGCTAAAGAAGATGATAGACCAAATTAGACGATTATTGTATGACTTGGTTATTTTCAACTTTATTTAAGTGATTTACTTAGTTTTTCAACATTTAATTATTTTCAATATATCTTTAAGAAATTTTGCTGTTATGTCACAGGTAATATTTTATTGTCACATAATTGACTTAGAAATACTTATAAAATTAAATATTCTATCTCACGTCTTCTTATTAAACATTTCTTATTAATATTTCTTGCTATTTCTTATTAATAAACATATAAATTCTGAGATAGACAATTTTAATAATCAAAAATACTATTTCAGGCTTGTGTTACAAAGAAAAGAGAATTCGTGTTATTTTGCTAATGATTCTTGAGACGAGAAATTGAGTTTTACGAGATCTTCTTTATGCATAAATAGAAGATCGACAACAAATTAGATTATCTTTGTCTCATCCAGTTTTAACTGGAGTGTTGTTCGTTTAGATAAAAAAGAATAACAATTATTATCGATATTACAAGCAAAATTTTTGTGCTGGCGCACATCTGCAAGAGACTTGCTACTTTTTGATCTTATACGATTTTTCGAATATTAGAAGATTTTTTTCGCAAAAAACATGCTCAAATTCAGAATATCTGCACCGGGGACGGTATGCTTAAGTGGAGAACACTTTATGGAATACAGCAAAACTTGCGTAGCGGCCAGCATAGATAGGCGTATGACACTGGAATTCATCGAATTTCCTTCAGAGATTTCAAATACTTTTATAGCACTGATTTTCGACGATATCAAATTATGCATGAACATACCTTTAGAAACTTATTTTAACTATTTTCTTTATTCACATTCGTGTGTGATTAATGATAATTCAACTGACGAAATCGTAAATTTTGTTGATTCATTAACGGAAGATATGGGCACGTACAATCGCGACGATCCCAAACATTATTTAAGTTTATGTATGTTCTTTTATCTGCTCGTGACGATCGCCTATGAACAAGATATTAATATAACAGGCTCTTTTGTCGTAAAAGTATGGTCGGAATTGCCGATCGGAGAAGGTTTTGGCAGCTCGGCGTCATTCGCGGTATGTCTCGCGGCGTGCTTTTGGCGTTGGTCGCATCTGCAAAAAGGGATCGTCATTTGCGAATTCGTTAGATATGAATTGTTGAAAATCGCGATATACGCTTCCATGTGCGATATTCTCATATGTGAATCTAAGACTTCGCTACATTGTTTCGTATCCGCAAACGGTTCAATAGTGGAATTCAAAAATAACTTTTTTTTTAAAATGTATCAAATATTTCCGAGCATAAAGGTCTTGCTAGTCTTTTCGAATATTAGCAGAAAACTCATGAACGAACTGTCATATGAAGATGCGATGGAGAATCCTTTGTTCACACTCCTTCTGAACTGTATTCACGCTACTTCGGAAATGTCTGCTAAATTGTTCGAAAATAATATACCAAAAATGTTGGAATTTGATGAGACTGAGCCTCTATTTATGTACTTACAGGACTTTTGCGAGAAATTATCGGTAAATCTCATTGTGCGAATTTCTATTGTTACATATGCTTGCGCGTGATTATTTTTAAAAAAATTTCATAGTTATCTTTTCATTGATTTTATATCTTATTTTTATTAATCTATACTTTACAGTATCTCATTCAAGTAAATCATGGATTATTGAAGGCATTAAACATATCGAATTCACACATAGAACTTATTTCTGCAATTGCGCGAAGCTTTTCACTAAACGGGAAAATGACATGCAGTAACAAAGGAGGATATGCATTTATTTTGCTGCCACCGAAATTTACAATTGAACGTACTGCTGAAATAATAAGTAAATTCAAGTCGTATGATTTAGACGTCATTGTAACCACTATATGTGGAAGATATAGTGGAGTGAGAATTGACTATTGTAATCAAATGTAAAATAAGCAGCTGAATATGACCAATGTATTAAAATAATTTAGTCAGCAAGAATATAAATTGCGTAAAAAAATAATTTTATGTGATACATTTTTTATGTTAACAGAATAAATATGAACATGCAACACAAATTTCTATTCGTAAATATTATATATGGAAGATAAGAAATAATGTCTAATTTAACCAACTCCTCAATATATAAGTTATATGTAATAAAGGGGAAAATGTGTTTACATTTATGTATGTTTACGTATATATGTTTGTTTTTTAATCATGTTTGTCAAATGAGTATTAAGAAAAAGATCGTTGATATTGTTCATGGTACATAATACGATAAAGAAGATCTGTCTGACAGTAAATATCTAAGTTATAATCGCTACTTTCGAATTTTTCAAGGAAAGCCTTTGCTGTTGTATCGTAGGTATTATGCCATTTTAAAACTATAGATTTCGTATAGATATATGTTCTCTTTCTAACATCTATCTCGTTAAAACATTAATATAAACTTTAAAATAAAAAGCTTCAATTATTATAAATATATAATCCAGGTTTGTGCGCAGAAGGAAGCAAAAAAGATTTGTGGTAACAATACCAAACAAAAACCAAGAAAAATTAAATTCTTCTCACGCGAGAGATAAAAAATCCATATCGAGTTAGTTTTATCACGTTGTTATTAACAATGTTATTTATGTAATACGAAAGAGTGATAAATATTATCTATTGTTCTGATAAACATTAACGAGGGACTGCAATATTTGATTTTCTGTGATTTAACGTTCGATATCACCTCTATTTTTCATGTACTGAAAAATTTCTTTTCTGTCAAGTCATGTACAAGTTCAAGATATCCGCTCCGGGCAGGGTGTTTTTATGTGGAGAACGCAGTGAGAATGTTAAGAAAATGTGCGTAGCAGCTAGCTTGAACATGCGTACCAAGCTTGCGTTCACCTCGCTATCTCCAAGAGCAATGTCAACGGATATTATAAAGTTCGAGTTCTCCACCATCGCGTTACACGTGAAAATATCTTTAGACACATTTTACGAGAATTTTTTGGATTGCAAGCTTACTGGCAATCGGTTGCATGAAGAAATAAAAGAATTTATCGATTTGTCATCAGAGGAAATCATCGGCACGTACGATCCTAACAACCACGAACACCAGTTTGCCTTACAAACGTTTTTATATTTGCTCATTATTATCGGCAATAGAGAAAAAATCAGAATAAATTCGTCTTTCGTCGTGAAATTATCGACGGAATTGGCGATCGGAGAAGGCTTGGGTAGCTCGACGTCCTTCGTGGTATGCCTCACGGCGTGTTTCCTGCGTTGGTCGCTTCTCCAGCGAGGGATCATTGTGTACAATTTTGGCGAACAAGAACTTTTGAAGATTTGCGATCACGCTCACCTCTGCGAGCGCATTATATTCGGGTCCACGTTTTTGATAGATACCGTCGTATCTGTGTACGGTTCAATAGCAGCATTTCAAGGGAACATCATGTTGCACACATGTTCTTCTCTACCAAGCATGAAGATCCTGCTGGTCTCTTCGAATATTAAGCAGAGAACAATTACACAAGCAGTGATAGATGAGACAAAAAAGATGAGGTCGTTTGTCGAGCCTATCATGAATAGTACCAATATTATGTCGTTGATATCCATTCGAGTGTTCAAAGAAATTAAGAAATATATGTGCAATCTAAAGATAACTGATTCCAGAGATTTGTCTCATCTGATTCCGCTGGACAGCTGCAAAATGATATCGGTAAATTTTTGCGATCTTGAATATTATTTTATTATACATACTTGGTTACTTTTTAAGATTTCTGTATATAGCGATCTATTGGAAACTGCATTTTTAATCAATGATCTACATTTTGCAGAAACTCATCCACATGAATCAAGGATTACTATGTGCATTAGGCATGTCGCATCCAAGTCTAGACTTTGTTTGCGCAATTGCGCGAAAATTTTCGCTCGCAGGAAAGATCGCGGGAAGTAAAGGTGGATTCGCGTTCATTTTTCTATTACCGAACAATACAAATAATCACATCTCTCAAATTTCAAATGAACTGAAACGGCATAATTTCCACGCCGTTGTAACCAGTTTATGTGGACAACGGAGCGGAGTGAGAGTCGAGTAACATATTAATTCAAATCAATAATTTAATATGAGTAGTCAGATGTAATAATTTATAAAGGTGACTAGATTACAATGAGAATGCAAGAATGTGAAAAAAATTTTTGTATATATTCTGCGATAAATTAATCACAGAATTAAAACAAATGGCATTAATTATAGTAATATTAATACATTATTATGATTTTTATTATAATAATATTGATAGTATTATTATAGTAATATTATAATAAGTAATTCATTATAATATAATATTATAATAAATAATTCATTATAATAATATTATTATAATAAATGCCACAGTAGTGATCAATGTTCTTAAAAAATTAATATAATGTTTATATATGAAATATATAATAATGATATGACAAAAATAATATATTATTTACTAATAATATGCTAATAATATAATCGTATCATATATGTATATTACTGTCTTATATTATGTATATACATCATATTGTGTTATTTTATATTTACTGTACATCATTTTTTCTATTTATTATATATATTTTTACATTAATTAATAATGTTATTTATATATTAATGTAAAAAATGATGCAATGCGACAATTTCTTGTATTGGATATGTAACTTATATTACTTATATTGCGAATGTGCAAATTTGTCTTGATAAATCTGTAGAGGATAGAAAATATTGCGGTTTTTTATATTAGATATATGATTAATTGATTTTGGTATCAATACAAACTTGGTAGAATTTTACTAAAGTTCATAAAAAATTTGCGAGCATTTTATTTATGATGTTTTCCGTAAATTTTTCATCAAAATTTTATTACCGTGGATATTCATATGAGATATATACGAGATATATATATATATTTTTTTTTGACGATAAATAAAGTGTTAATACGCAGAATGAATATGTCATTCTATAGTGACAAGTTATTTTTTTTTTTATCTGTATAGCCGCAATGAAAAAGACAAATTTTTTACCATAGTATTGTAAACATCAACTTTCTCTGTATATTTTTTTACATTGAATAAAAATTCATATTTATCTATATATACCATTTATGTATAATATATCGCAGGCAAAAGTTATAAATTTTATTTGTTTTTTGTTTGTTTATCCCCTTTGAATTTTATCCCAGAATTAATCACACATGGCGCATTCTTATTAAAAAGTTTCGACATCGCGCAGGAAGTAACGAGGTAATGGTAACGAGATCGGACGAAAGGATATATTCAGGCCATTTTGAACAATTCTTTTTTTTTGTGTTTCGTATCTCGCGATCCTGAGCTCCGGATAAATTCGGGCGCGTGAAATTTCTCTTGATTTTCAGCGGGCGTCCGGCAATTAAGCGCGCGCGCCACGGCGAGCTGACGCGACACGGACAATAGATGAGCCGGGCGGGTAACCTTAATTAAATGGTAAAGGCGGCCGATTAGTTGGCAAACTCGCGATAGTGGAAATTTATTATATCCAATGCACCGCCCGTGGAGTCTCACGCGCGTTCTCCGCCAGCGTCTTCCATGCGCACGCCACCGCGCCCCCCGTCACCCTTCTTCCGCGCGACCAGGTGGTTCTGGCGAGCCGGGGGTTGGTTTGTCGCGCATAAATCCCGCCGCTCTCCAGATGGGATACACGCGCGACGATCAGATAGATGCTTAATGCAATTATACGCCTCGAAAGGAGCGCCGAGGTTGATTCCCGTTCTCGGAGATTATACGCCGGCTGAGCTCGCTCGCGTTGTCACGCGAATCAACGAAGCGCAATTTTCCGTTGTTCTGTGAAAGGGGATGACGCGCGCATTTGGATTTTCTATAGGTGCGAGCGTTTACCGAGCGGAAAGGAGAGTCGCGATTATATAAATTAAATTATCTTTGTCTTCCTACGAACACAAGAGGCACGAGAGAGGGAGAGAAATAGAGAGAGAGAGAGAGAGAGAGAGAGAAGAGAGAGAGAGGAGGGAGGGATATATACGCGAT